GCATATTAAGTACTTTTGCCATAAAATGGCTCTTGTTGTGAATGCTGGTTTGAAGGAATTGGGACTCCAATCCCCGCCTCCATCAAAAATGAAAAAGGTGTTCTTAGGTTCTTTTCCCTACTCAAATACGATTCCAAAAATCACGGAGGAGAATGAAGATGGAAATGAAGGAGACAATGAAGACAGCGATTCCAACAGTGAAGCCGGAAGTGATCACACCGAAGAAGACGACGCCGAATCGGATGATGATGACGAAGATGATACAGATGAATCCCAGGAGGCCAACAAGGGTGCGAAAGACGGTCAAAAAGAATCTTCCTCAAAGGCCAACAGGAACAATTCGAATGACTTGAATGATTTGGTTACGGCAGTGAGTGATTACATCTCTGATATCTTTTTTGAGTGACCTACTGACAAGTTTAAATGATGTACATAGTTGGACTTTGTAGTTAAGAAAATTACCGGATCGTGTGCCTGGAGACAGGAATTTGAGCGACGAGCAGCTGGAAAAGGATTAAAAAATCTGATTGCTGGCTATGGTATCTGTTGGAATATAATATATGAAAGCCGAACTCGTGCCTATGAAGCCAGAGAAGTATGTTATTTATCCATCTTTCTACAAAACTTGTTGATTAATATTTGCCAATCTAGGTCATTGATGCAATACTCCATCATGAGTATGACAAATATAAACAACAACGGTCCAAATCAAGCCGCAAGGAAAATCCCAAGAAGCTCGGTCACTTCAAGGAGATCCAGTTCACAAAGAAGGAATGGGCGATGATTAATGAACTGAATGAAGAATTAGAAGTAAGTCCTTTTTATTATTATATATAAGGTTTTATCTGAAATGCTCATTTGTTTTTTTCAGCCATTCAACCGCCTGACCAAACTTATGGAGGGTGATGGTCCTACCGGTGCTTTCATCTTACCAAACTATTATAAAATAATCTCAGAATTGAAAAATAAGGAGGATGCCTGCAACCGAGGTCACCCGATGCATCCGATGTATGTCAAAATGATCAAGAAACTAGAGACCTACGAAAACGAGGCACTCGAGTGTCATACTCTCATTATGGCGACTTTGCTCCACCCCAAATTACGGCTGAAGGCCTTCACCCATTGCTGGCCTGAAAAAGCGGACTTTGCGAGAAAACTTCTGGAGAAAGAATTTGTGAAACGTGTGGAGGATCTGAAGAAACAGAAAGAAGATAATATCCAACTTGTTGAAAAAGAAGCCCCCCCGGTCGAGCAAAGTGATATCTTTGAAATGTTCAATGCACCTGCAAGAACCGACGAAAGCAAAGAGCTCGAGGTGTATATCAACAACATGGATCGACTACCATTGCCTGCCTCAAACGATCCCAAGAGCATTTTAATTTGGTGGAAGGTATAAAGTTACCTTCTTTGATCATACTCATTTGGTAATTACTCTAATCATAATTTGATTATTCATCTTGTTCAGGATCATTCAACCACCTACCCGGTTCTTGGATCACTGGCCAAGGACTACTTAGCATCCTCTGCATCCTCATGTGCAGTTGAGCGTACCTTTTCTTCAGCTGCTGATGTTTGTTCAACTGGCCGAGGGAGTTTGAAACCCCGTACAATTGAAAGGTGTGTTAGTAGCCATATGTGGTTAAAACAAGGTATTAAAGTTGCTGGAGATTTCACCAAAGCACAAACAGTTGTTTCTTTGTACATTGACTATTCCCAAAGAAAAAAGTAGATTTTTTCCCACCTTTTCTTTCTTTTGCTTTTTAACCACTAGTATTCTTTTTATCACTCATCTCTAAGCAAAAAAAAATCTTAGTATAAAAAAATCAAAGCAAAAAAAAACAATTTCTTATTTTCACTAATACCTAATCTTACCAGAAAAAAAAAGTTCAATATCAGTAGTTCTTTTCATCCCTCATTTATCCATCCATATTTGTTGATTTTTAGTTGATAATTTACAGTATGATTACTTGGTTTTTTTTTTGCTTTTTTCCCAAGTAATTATCTGAAAAATACTTTTTGAGGTCCTTATTCTCTACTATGTCTGAGGTAACCTACATATTATTCCAACTACATAATCAGTTACACTAACAGTTAGTGTAACTTTTAATCAGTTACGCTAACAGTTAGTGTAACTTTTAATCAGTTACGCTAACAGTTAGTGTAACTTTTACACCAGTTACGCTAACTGTTAGTGTAACTTTGCAAAAAGTTACACTAACATGTAGCGTAGTGGGTTCACCCACTAACACCGCTAAAATTTCACTAACAGGATTTTGGGTAGTGTTAGTTGTACCTTTTTAAAGGCAGCTAACACTACACTAAAGTTTTTTTTTTTTCAAAAATACTGTAGCGTTAGTGGGCCAAAAATTTCCGCTAACGGTAACTTTTGTGTAGCGTAGCTTAAAAAGCTAACACTACGCTACACTAACACTACGGTTAGCGTAACTGGCCCACCGTTGCTCCTCCGGTCGATGAGGAAGCTAAACCTCATTGACCGGAAGGGATCCCTTCCGGTCAATGAGGTTTAGCTTCCTCACTGACCGGAAGGGGTTCCTTCCGGTCAAGTGGGAGCGACTCCCAAACCCCCTCATACATGAGGGGTGGTTTGGGGAGTCGACTCCCAAAAAAAAATATAAAAAAAAATATAAAATGAAATGAAATGAAATTGGGTGGACGACTCCCAGAATCTGCCTGCAGTTTAGAAGACGACTCCCAACGGACGTCCGCTGACGGTCGTTGGGAGTCGTTGGCGAAAAAACGGGAGTCGTTTTTCCGAGTCCCTAAAAGTAAGAGAAAGAGAAGAAGAGAAATGAAGGAATTGAAGTATATTTTTGGTCTTTATTTATTTTATGATGATGATTAAAGTTCTAGCAGTCTTACTGTCCCTTTGTGGATGGCTGCGGACAGTCTTACTTTCCTTTCAGGATAGCTGTTATAAGCGGAGCTAACTCTTACGCCTCCAAATCAACAGAAACTGAAATGGGTTATTGACACTGATGAATCAGGTCAACCACAATTTTTTAGATCAAAGATCAAGGCTGTTTAAAGGGAAACCTATGTAGTTTTCAGTTGTACTACCAAACAGGAAGAATTGAGATAGTAGAAGCTAGAGCTTGCTTTCTTTGATCAGGGCTTTGGTTTGATGAGGAATGAAGAGAAGCTGAGAGAGACAGAGAAGAGAAACAAGCAGAAAGATTCTAGCTTAACTTATGAGAAGTGACTTACTAATGATACCAATGACACTGCGTAGTGGGAAAGGTAGGAAAAGTGAGGTACTTCTGGTTGATAAGTGTTTGCTTGATCTGGGTCTGGTTGTTGGTGTTCTGTGTTGGTCTGGAGTCTGAAAATCCTCTGGAAGCAGAATCAACAAGCTCAGAGAGGATTTTCAAAGTTGGATTACGTAATCTGGCATGTACATGAAAACCTAAAGGCTGGAGTAATTCTTGAAGTACTGTGAATTATTACAAAGTCAATGAAGGAATGGAGTTGAGTAAAAGTGACCAGTGGTGACTAGGATTAGTTTTAAACCAGGAAGCCATTTCTGAAGTCAAAAAGGTTAAAAGTCTTAAGACAAAAAAGATAAGATGATATTTGGAATAGAAATGGGCAGTTTTGGCAGTCTTTTGGCCAGCTTGGCTGGCTCTAAGGCTGACACTGGGGAAACATAAGAAGCACAGAAAAATAAAAAATGGTTGGTATTTATAGCAATAAGAAAGTCCATCCTTATTTCATTTTAATCTTGATTTTGACTTTGATTTGGAGGGATTAGATTGATCACATCTTGTGGACCTTACCAAATATGCATATCCCAGATCCTTCTTTCCCATTCCCCCTTGTGTTCTAGATGCTTATATTGTTTGAGTATATTTGGGATCAGATGATGAACTTGTAAGAGCAACAAGATTGAAAGACCAGAGCAGGAATGTAAATCAATCTCTCTCTTTCTCTGTTTTTGAGATGATTGGGCCTATGATTATGTCTCACTTGTGTTGATTATACAATTGTTTCTGTTTGAGTGAATCAATTTGATGCACAAGAATCACATTTGAAGTTGGATCAATTCAGGGTCAATCCATTGTGTCTCCCCATGGACTGGAGGAAGTCGGCATGATAGGTCCCAGGGAAAAAAGAAGGGGAGAATACAGACTTGTCACAACCTGCAAGCTGGTGACGCTGATTCATGCATGGTTGTTCTGCTTAGATGAACGTCAAGTTGGGGTGTTTTTGTCTACATACTCTAAACATGAAACCCTCTCTTCTGGAAAAGCAACCTTTCTTCTGAATGTTGTACTTGTGTTATTTACTGGGGTGAGAGACTGGAGTTTGGCTGTTGTGTCATCTTCAATTTCAAAGTCACATGTTTAGTTAGATGCATGAAAAGATTTGATCTTCTTTACTGTGGAATGGATGAAGACATATTTGGGGATTGCACAAGCACACTTGTTGGTTGGAAGTTTACAATCCATTATAGGGAAGAAGGATGTGTTGGCCCTCCTCAGCAGTACTTGTACACAATCCTTTGTTTGAGAAGAGAGGGAAGTTGTTTTCTCTTTTTTTCAAGTTGGTTACTTCTCAAAATCTCAAAATCCTTTTTTCAATGTTGAAAATGGTAATTCGCACAAACTTTTCCAGGGAGGTTTTTTTTACTTGATCAAGAACCGGATGGTTTCCATTTTCTGAACCTCATGTTTTCAATTGGAATCACTTATGTATCAATCATGTAACATTACCATCAGCCATGCCACAGAAACTCACACCTGTGGACAAACTGCATCCAGGTTTATAATTCTTCACACATCCAGGGTCTATTCCCATGACCTCATGTCAATTTATTTGTAGATTTTACAAGACACTGTATATACATATATATCTCCTTTCAAAAACTAGGAAAGTTAAAACAATACATTAGGTTGTGAAATGCAAGACAGTTGTTGATTTGTTGTTGTTGTACCGTTAATCTTTTGAGAGTAGGAATCCAAATAATAGGTGTCGTCTTTTCATCAGGCCATTTGGAAAGTATGAGTAGCACTGATAAAGGTTTCAGTGGCGGAGATGAATAGGTTATTCCAAGTAATCAACCAAGTCTTGAGGTTAGTTTGGGAGGAGTTGGGGTTACCATCAACTTGAGGGACTAGAGGTAGAACATAAAGAGTCAAAAGGAGCATGGAGGATTGAAAAAACTTAGAAATTTTCTTGACTGATGCTAAGAGAGCGCGAGCAGTATGTGCTTCGTCAGTCTCCTCAGCCTTACTTAAAGTTTTCAAGATTCTTGAGAGCTCGCCATCGATATCCCCAGCTGCTCCAGTCAATGTCTCGAGCTGACTGGTACTCATTTCTGTAAAGGGTTCCGAGGGACTTTTGTCGATTCTGCTTGAAGTTAATTTTCTGAAAAACAGTCTGGATAATTTGATCATGGGTACCGTAGATCGAGCGAGTTGTAAGAAGGCCTCGTTAGGAGCTTCGATCTGGGACTCATCGTCTTCTTCGCCATTCTCATCTCCATCCTCGTCTTCCTCTTCCTCTTCCTCTTCACCTTCATCCTCGACGTCTTCGTCTTCTTGAAATTCGCCTTCATCCTCGACTTCCTCGTGTTCGTCTGAGTCGGCAGTTGGATTGAGGAGCTTGGTTACCCCGGCGAGGACTTCGTCCATATCAGTGAGTTCGACGTCCCACTCCTCCTGGATGTTACTCAATTCATGTCCTTTTATCGATTTGATCAGACACTCGATTGCTTCCGCTGTGTCAGTTGTATATTCGGCCACTTTTCCTCTGGTGTTGGATTTACGAGCCTTCCGACGATACTTCTTTTGCGAGAGCTTCAATTCTCGAATGAGATCGGCGAAACCGTCAAACAGGAAGCTTAGTTCATGAATCAAGAAGCCGAGTTTGAGCAGCAGCTTTGGAAGCCGAAAGCTTTTCAAATTTCGCAAATGATTGTCATCGGTTTGGGATGAAAGGTAAAATAGTTGTCGGTGAGGAGCGCAAAAAAAAATTTGCTCCACAGACTGAACAATCTCCAACTGGAGCTCTGTGATTAGTTCAAGTTTCGAAGCTGTATCTCCTCTGCGTAAGTCGGATGAATTTATGATTCTTGAGATAGTGCTGATTTGATGGCCGAGCAAAGGTAGAAGGCTAGATTCCAGTCGGCTGAGGATTAATTGGCAGCTCGCTTGGTCGATGGGCACAATTCGTTCGGTAGATGTGGAGCGAAGCCTCCGGTTACTATATATATCATACTTGTATTTAAAGCTTCTAAAGGACTGGGCGAGCAAATCTAGTTACGTGGAAGCAGTTGAGAAGGGTTATCAATTAGATATTGGTTTTGTGAAGTTTGGAGTTGGATAAGTTGGATGACCACAAAAACAATGTTTTTACCTATTTGACGAGAGATCAATTGATCAGCATTGGGTGGAATTGACTCGGGTTTGGTTGATTTGAGCATCAGAAGAGGAAAATGTTTGCACAAGATATATGGACAGTATATCTTTCCTATTCGGGATAATGGCAGGATGGGACCGTTTAAGGGATAGGAAGTTATCTCAAGTGTTTATGGCTGCAGTTGGGAGTTACTCGATAACTGGTGTCTTGAGGGATGCAAGAGAAAGACAAGCTTTGTAGTGCCTGTGAACAGTCATTCATTTATGGATCTCTGGAAGAATCAAGCCTATGAACTATGCAGTGGTTTGTTGACAAAATTGGGATCATGTAGACGAGTGCACTAAAGGGTCAGAGCTGCTAAAGAGTCATCACCTGGTTATGTAAAATTGGCAACATAGCCTGATCAAAGACCAAAACCAGACGTAGCCCATTCATTCATCAGAAGCTTGTGGAAACAAAAGCGACATCGACATGGAACTCATCGAATCGAGCACACAGCCACTGGACTTCGTTAGGACAAGAAGCTTGACTAGTCCATCGCGTCAATCGCGTCAATCGCGTCAATCGCGTCAATCACGTATTTTATTTTATCAAATTCCCCGGCCCTGCATCATCATGCCAATGTCGGGTACAGTTGCCCCTCACCCCTTCTTGACTACCCCTGACCTGCACAACAAAAGTTGAACTTTGGGTGGTATGTTTGATTTTGCACTACATGCTAGCAGTGTGTATATTGGGACATATTTCAAACTGCAGGAGTAAATAGTAGAATCCAAGAATAAAAACTATTTTTGTGCATGATGCAAAACAAAAAAGTTTGGGAGTTTGAAACATATAATTTGGAACACATGCCAGATGTATGGCCTTGTGGGCATGTAATATGTGCCTACATAGTTGCATTATACATTGATATCATTGGAATACATGTTTTTCTTTCATTTCAGGCATTTTTATTTTTGGCTAAAATATCTCAGTTTAGTCTAATTTCTTATATACTCCTCTGGCATTTTGTAAAACAAGTGCAAATGAAATGTACTGTCTCTCACTCCCAAAAATGCTATTTTTCCTTAATGGGGCAAGATAGGTATTGTTAGTGTGCCTTTGTGAATTATTATACAGGTATTCTATCAACATGGAGATCATCTGTGACAGCTCAACAGCCACACCCAATTTATCATGAGCATTCAAGTTACTCTCTTTATTATGACGGGGTTTCAAAATTGATTTTTGAACAACATTCTGACCAAAATTATACAGTTCAAAGAAGTTTTGAGAAACATTCCAAACAAAGAGAAATTGGAGGTTTGAGATATTTTGAACCTCTTGAGCTTGTGACTTCATGTAGAATCCTGTTTGAAGATCAATTTTGAATCCCACTGGAGGACTTCCTGTTGATCAGATAGCTTAATTTAGAGGGTCCAACTAAACTTTGTTTGCTGGCAAAATCTAGAGGTTGAAAAAAGTTCACCAGCCAATAAGCTTTTGCCCTCCATTTTTAATTTACAAATTTCAAAGTCCTCCCCTATCAACTTGATCCTGATCCTCACATGACCTGATCTAAGCAAATTGATTGAGTTAAGCTTCTTGATAGTGATTGGTGATTGTTTTTTCAATTGAGCAACCATTAATGAGGTAGTGAACATCAAAACTGGTTCATTTCTTTCTTAACTATTGCTGATAACTGAAATCAATCAAAGAGAATAGTCAGTTTCTCTCTCCAAACTGAAAAGTCCTAAAAAGTGAGACCAATCCTTCTTGATATAAAACAGAAGTAGAGAAGAGAACACAGAAGTTATGGAAGAAAACAAAAGATAATTAGTTGAATGGAGCAACAAACTTTTCAGTTCTCACCAATTTAATTGAGGCTTGATTTTTCTGAGTAGATTAATTGAGAATATGTGGGAAGAAACAGTTGAAGTTGATGGTCAAGATGGATTTTGGGATTGATGATATTGAGAAGCAAATATCAAATATGAGGTGAATGGAGAGAGGAAGATGAGTCAAGGAGGTGAGTGGAGAGAAAAAGATGAGTTAAGAATATCTCCTCAGGGGTTGCTAAGTTGGGTCGCTATGCCACATTTGCTATCATGTCTTCAACTTTTGAAGACTGGATAGAGATCAAGCAAGAAAAATGGCAAATAGTGACCCGGATGGTGACCCTGTTGGGTGATAATTTATGAGTTTGTTTTGCCAAATGTGGGACAGCAAATCAATTTAGAGACCCCCATGGAGTTCCTCTAAGAGGACAAGGGAAGTAGATTGAGAAGGAAAGTATTCATGAGGGAGAAGCGGGAGCAAAGGAGGTGGGATTGAGCTCAGAGATTGAGTTTTTTTGGTATGGTTTGCTCATGATCCAGCTGAGACTAGAGTTGGCAATGGTTCCGTTAGGGTTTTCCATGTACTAATACTGACAATTATCTTCATGGTTATTTTTAGATATTGGGCTTCAAAGGCTCACATGAGATGTATGTCACACATTGAGTCCAAGTTTCAACAGTAACCACTGTTGTTAATTCCCAGACAATGCAAGGGTCTATGAAAAATTATCAAACTAAGGCCAGGAAAATCTAAAATTTAGTTGACTAGGAATGGGCTGCTTACCATATGTAAGCTGATTACAGAAATGGCTTTGAACAGACTGGTTGATTCAACCAAGGCATTGATTTGTCAAAAATATCTGTTGCCAGGTTGAAACTGGGGAACTTATGAAGGGAAGATCATCTGAATCTTGTCATTTGGAGGATTGGACCAAGTGTTTGAGAAACACCAGAGCACAGCCATGAGCTAAGGAGGATGTCTTGGGAGTCCAATAATGAGCGGAGTGAGATGGAAAAGGAAAGGAAAAAAAATATGCACCTGATTTGGGTGCAGAGGAGTTGAAAGAAAAATCACTACAACTGCCCCCACATCTCTCATAGTTGAGAATTTAAATGTATTGCAACCTGTCACAGGATATTTCTTGGTCACTTTACTCTGACCATAACAAATTTTGAACACAGGTTCATTATTGAATATCTAATACCTTAGTAGGAAAATGAAAACCTTTGTATATTGAATTACTTATTTACCAGCTCATATTGCATATTAAATTCATTTGCTGATGTAAATGCATTCCTTTGTCCTTTTGTAGTACAGTTGTGGATGGCATAAACCAACCTTGCCCGGGCCCTTCTGTGAAAACACCACCTTTGAGCCCTATGTTTGAATGCAATTGTCATTCTAATCACACATACTGTGCATGGTTGGATGCTACATTGGATGGATAACACAAAATTGTGTAGTACATCCAATAATAATGCATGTAAAACAGTAGAAGGTTCAAAATCATTTTTGGACATGCTTGTACTACATAATTTTGTGTTCTAACTTGAATGTAGCATCCAAAAATGAAAAATTATAGAGTGTAGCACCCCTATTACACTCAAGCATAAGGCTCAAAGTTGGCCTTGAAAATTATTCTGGAAATTGTTTAGCAAAGTTTTCCTCATTTTCTGATTTTTTTAATTATTTTTCAATCATTTTTCAAATTAGCTCAAAAAATAAGCATCAAAGCAGTGACATGTAAAGTACGAGAAAGGTGTGATTTCTATCTTTTGTGAGAACCGACAAGGTGTCAGAACTTGACCACCAACAAGAGTGAGCAGCAAAAGAAGAGCAGACCTAAACATCCGCAAAGAGATGAGTAGGATGATATCAAGTTGAGCAATGAGAGACAAGTAGAAGTATGAAAACTTTAATTAATTGCTATACACACCTTTTGTGAGAACCAGCAAGGTGTGAGAACTTGGCCACTGACACAAGTGAGCAGCAAAAGAAGAGAAAACCTGAAACAGACATGAAATGAGAGAATGAAAGCTACGAATGAAAGATGAAAAATGGTTCACACCTGAATGTCTGCAACAAGATGAATAGGATGATATCAAGTTGAGCAATGAGAGACAAGTAGAAGTATGAAACCTTGAATGAAGAAAGGAAATACAACTGAATGAGATGAAGTTGAAATAGTCCCGTCTACAGTAGGTTTCAGCCTTTTCTATCACCATTGCACAGCCACTGTTCCCTCTTTCATACACAGTGATTCAGATAGTGAGCAACTGTACCTGTGGCATTTTGATAGCATGTGAATTCAATGATCATAAATTAAAAATTGAAAAAAATGATCCACAGCTTTTGTAAGCATGTTTGGATTGTGCCATCCACCAGACCAACCCTGCAATCAGGTGAGGCACTGAAATCAAATCCAATTCCAATCTCAATCTGGCTTCTTGTGCTCTCTAATCTTTGTATCATTGATTTTTTTATAATTTTTCATTTATGATCATTCTTTTCACATGCAATTCTGTTGATCCTGATTTTTTGAGCTACTTTGAGAAGTGATTAAAAAATACCAAAAATATCAGAAAATGAGGAAAAATATTTTTCAGAATTAGAGATGGCACTTCACACCGGGTACCCGTGGCCGGTGCAGGTACCTGACTTAAATTCCACTAAATTTGGACACCCACACCCAATGGGAACCTGAAGCCATTGTGATGCACTATAATTTAGCCACATTAGTTTTCATTCCTTTCTGATGCAATGCCAATGCAATGCATCACTTTTTTGATGCAATGCCTCAGTACTGAATTAACATGCAATGCCAATAATATTACATGGCTATTTGTTGCATCACATCACATTGTTTCACTGTTGTTCCCACTCCCAGTACTAGTCAGATTTCCTTACCTCAGCTACAGCTACAAGACACACATCACCAAATTGATCAACAGTTTTAAATTTAGAAACACATTTCTGTTAGTAGTCCAACTCCATACAGACTCAGTATGGCAATATTGGAACACCCAATCACAATTGTGGTGCTTGGAATTTCTTGATGAAGAACCTGATGCAATGCTGAAGCTGTGACAAGACATGTATTTTGTATCTCTCGTATCGTCTTTATTGAATACTGATACCTGGTATCAGTATTTCCTTGGTTGGTGAGAAAATCCACTGTCTTGGATTTGTCTTTTCCAAGCAAAAAAAAATGTCTTTGTTTTTTTGTTGATATGGACAGATATCTTGTGTTTTGGAGACATTTTTGGTGGGATCAGCCCTCTGAGACAATACACAATACTTTTCTCACTTCCTAAAGACAATATGTGTGTATTGCCTCTGGAAAGTGAGATGAACAAGTATTGGTATCTTTGGGTATTCAAATTCTGAGACAATACAAATGAACACTGGGTATTGTCTTGTCTTGCCCCTGTTTCAGTGTTGCCTGATGGTTTTCCTTTCTTGAAAGTCATGGTTTCAATTAGAATCACATTTCATTCATGTAAACTCACCACCAGCCATGCCTAAGAAATGCACAACTCATCTTGTGGACAAACTGCATTGGATCCATGGAGTGCACACCAACACCTAACATTTCACATCAAGGGTCTATTCTTTTTTTAAGCGCATAGTTAATTTGACATTGTGCACTATGAATATGCAGTATGTGGAAACAATAAATGAGAGAAAGAGGGGTCACAAAAGGTAGGATAGTTTTTTATTGGTTCTGTTTTCAATTTTTCAAAGTCAGAAATTCAGGCAGTAGAATGAACAAGCTTTTTTGGTCTTTCTACTAGGAATTTTCGAAAGTTTGTGCAGCAATGATAATTTTTTCAGTGGCAGAGATGAATAGATTATTCCAAGTGATCAACCAGGTCTTGAGGTTGTTTTGAGAGGAATCTGGGTTATGTTCAATTTGAGGGACTAAGGGTAGAACATAAAGAGTCAAAAGGAGCATGTAGGATTGAAAAGAATTTGACATTTTGTCGACTGATTCGTAAAGAGTATGGGCAGTATGGTCCTCATCAGTCTCGCCGGCCTTATTTAACGTTTCCCAGATTCTATTGAGCTCGCAATCGATATCCCCAGCTGCTCCATTCAATGTCTCGAGCTGACTGGTACTCATTTCTGTAAACGGTTCCGAGGGACTTTGGTCGATTCCACTTGTCGATAATTTTCTGAAAAACAGTCTAGATAATTTGATCATGGGTACCGTCGATCGAGCAAGTTGAAAGAAGGCCTCGCTAGGAGCTTCGGTCTGGGACTGATCGTCTTCGTCGTCATTCTCATCTCCATCGTCCTCTTCCGCCGCAAGTCCACCTTCATCCTCAACTTCTTCGCCAGATTCAGAGGCGGAAGTCGGATTGATGAGCTTGGTTACCTCGGCGAGCACCTCGTCCATACCAGTGAGTTCGACGTCCCACTCCTCCTGGATGTTAGTCAATTCATGCCCTTTGATCCATTTGATCAGGCATTCGATTGATTCCGATGTAGAAGCCGTATATTCGGCCACTTTTCCTCTGGTGTTGAATTTACGAGCCTTCCGACGATACTTCTTTTGCGAGAGCTTCAATCCTCGAATAAGATCGGCCAAACCGTCGAACAAGAAGCTCAGCTCATGAATTAAGAAGCCGACTTTGACTAGCAGATTCGGAAACCGAAAGCTTTTCAAGTTTTTCAAATAATTGTCATCGGTCGAGGATGATGGTTTTCGGTGAACCTTAGGAGCGCAAGAAAAAATTTGGTCCACAGACTGATCAATCTCCAACTGGAGCTCTGTGATTAGTTGAAGTTTCGAAGGTGTATCTCCTCTGCGCAAGTCGGATGAGTTTATCATTCTTGAGATAGTGCTGATTTGATGGCCAAGTAGAGGTAGAAGGCTCAATTCTAGTCGGCTGAGGATTGAGAGGCAGCTCGCTTGGTCGATCGGCACAATTTCTTCGATAAATATGGAGCGAAGCCGCCGATTATGATATATGTCATACTTGTATTTAAAGCTCCTAAAGACCTGGGCGATCAGATCTATGCAGTAACAGTTGAGAAGGGGGGTTATCAATTCAATCCTGGTTTTTTGAAGTTTGAGGTTGGATAGTTTCGATGACCACAACGAGATATACATTTACCTATTTGACGAGAGATCGATTGATCAGTTTTGGGTGCAATCGACTCGGGTTTGGTTGGTTTGACCATCTGAAGAGATATAATAGCAATGCAGGATATGTGGATAATAAATATATCCTTCCTACTCGCGATTACAGTGGAATGGAATCGTTGAAGGGATAGGAACTCAGGTGTTAATAGCTGGGGGCTAACCAATTACTTGAGAACTGGTGTCCTTGGGAAGTATGCAAGAGAAAGACTCCCCTTTGTGGTGCCGGTGAACCGTCGACATTTATTCATGTATCTCGGAAGAATTCAAGCGTATTACTATGGAGTGGGTTATAGAAAAAAGGACAATGTAGACATGTGCCTTCATGTAGTGCACTTAAAGAGGAGGAGCTACTAAAAGAGTCATTGTCTGGTTATGTAAAATCGGCGGCAGGGCCTAGCAGGGCCTGGTCTAAAGCCGGATGTAGGCTAGCCGATACAGTGGAGACAAAGGCGACATCGAGATACAACCACTCATGGGAAGTGGATGCGTTGGTAGAAGAAGGTCGACTAGTTAATCGCGTCAAACGCGTCAATCGCATCTTGTATTTTATCCTCATGATGTAAAAGCATCTCCAAGGCGCCAGCATTGGGTGAGCAAAGCTTGCCCCAATAACAGACGCATTCCTATCGAAGTCCAAAACGCAATAAGAAATTGCTAGCGTCCACGGATCCGGAAGCAGCGCCGATTTAAGCGCCATTCAAATGTAAAAGGACTTGGAGTGGGTTCAATCTCACTCCCGGGCGTTTTCGATCCCAGTGCCGCTGGAAGCGGAACCCCGACAATTTACATAACCCTCCAATCCCTACGTTCTAAGTTCTATGTCGCTCGACTTGACCATCCCAGCTGTCCTTATCGCCTGCAGAAAGCTCCTCAAAAACACTCACGCCTCCGGAGCCACCGAGGCTTTTCCCTCCATTTCAGCACGCCTCCCCCCTCAGCTCCGGCCGGAGGACAGGCTCGACAACGCGCGTTGAGCGCGGCACTCTGTTAGCCATTAATTGCATGTACTCCTCTCAACAACTCGATTTTCCTCTGCTCCTGTTCTCTCATTCTTTTCCTTCCTTTTTGTCTTCTGATAGAATTGTGAACCCCTCAAAAAAGTCCGTCACGTCTCTTTCTCTGGTTTCGTTATGTCAATGGGCTTATCTACACCTTTGTCTTGTGATTTGCATATGCGTAGTGCGCAATATCCAAACAAATCTGCACTTGAAGGAAAAAAAAGTTTTCTTAGTCCTCCCGTTGACATCTCAGCCGTCAATTGCCTTTGTTACTATTGAATCCCCATCTGTCTTTTGAGATTGTGGTTAAACAGGTCTACCTTTGGTCATCAATCAGGCAGACAAAAGACATGGGCTCTCATGTCAATCATTCAACCAATGAAGGCACAAATGTGAATTCCCACTGCCTATTCTGCCAGGAATCCATCTCAATATAAAACCTTTCCCCAGGCATACAACCATCTCGGCCACAATAAACTAGGATACCACCAGAAGTGCACCAGAGGCAACACTGGCCACCGGCTTAAGATGCTGTTCCCAAAATAATTAACTTCGGACAGTGATTTGAGTGAACCAGCTAGTCCTATCCCAATTATCCAAAAAAGGATCACTATCAAAATAGATCTGGAGTAATGATTCCCCCAGCTTGAATAGTTGGGAACTCACCTCTACTCCCCTCAAACTCTGTTTTTATTTCCTTCTACTGCAACACTAGGAAGCAATTTGATCCTGAAAATTTCTGGCCCAAGATGTTTCTCCCCACCAAACCTAACCACCAAGAATATTTCATCAACTCCTTGCTTAAGAAACTCATTGCAGCCTAGCAATCCGCTGAGGCCTAAAAAGCACAATTTGTTGGGCTGGTCATCCCGTATGTAGTATTTAATGTGAATGAATAAACTAAAGTTTTTATTTCTGATAAGTAACATGAATGCACCTAAAGAAATAAAAATAAACAATGAAAAAGAAAAAGTACCTAAAGGCAGAGACAACACAAGTGACAGGACAGTGACACAAGAGAAGGCAAAGAACAAGAGATACAAAAGAAAGGAAGAACTAATATAGGAAAGATCAGTTGGCTGCAGTCAAGATAAGAGGAAGAGCTGTTGAGTGAGAACATACTAGTGAAGGAATTCTTACAAATAGGAGACAAGGATTGGCAAGTAGTTGGAAGGAAGTGATGAATAATCAACATGATTGTTGACAGGAAATGATGAGTGAACAAAGGCACTAATAGGTTGTTGTCAAGGTATATTTTGACAAGTTACAGAGCAATTTATCATCAATGAGATTTTATGAGAAGTGCTGATGTTTTATTGATGAACAAAAAAGTGAGTCAATAAAATTCCACAAGGAAGAGAAAGGATTGAGAAGTTGAAGGAATTGTCTGTCTTGAGGAGAGAAGGGTCAAGCAGGGTGTTTTGCAGAGGAAGAAGATGTTATATTCCATTCCTACTCTAAGCAATCTGACACCTACTCTGTGTAAGTCTTGATCCTGATATAATGATAAGCATATAAAAATAAGACTTATCATCCCAGGATACAAGCACTACAGTGGAGCATGCCTTGATAAAATGAGCCCAGCAATCATTAGCGCACTTAGCTTAGTGGTTAAAAGCATAACTCATGAATTTTGGGGTCACAGGTTCAATTCCTGTAGTGCACATCTATTTTGGTTTCTGACAGAAGAAGGTCTGATTGTTTGTGTCACAACCAAGTGATCCACTAGAGTAATAGAGGGATGTCACTCAAATGTCAACACTTGATGCTTGTACATAGTTCTGATTATAAAAAGTGTTCCATTACTACTGAACACTGGACTCTCTCTCAATGGTCCTTGACTTACTGAATCAACATATTACTTTTGATCATTGTCAAGTCCCACATGCAAGTCTTGTCTTCAGGCGTAGTTTTGGTCCCTGTGCCCCTGAACAAAATTCACTGTTGTTTTAGTTTGTTTACTCCTTTACAAATAAACTTTCTCATGCATATTTCACTTCATTTCAATCATCCATTTTTGATTTTTTGCTACACCCAAAAACTGGCCACTGTTTATCTATCATACTTTGGACTTTGTGAATGGAGTGAATAAAAATCATTATGTCCTGATCTACCAGTCATTCTGAGAGTGTTTTACAAGTTTTCTGGGGGATCTTTGGAAGTAGATGAATAGAATAAATGAAGTTTTGATATTCAAGATTTCCTACAAGGATAGGTAAGCTTATGAAAAAGAAATTCTAACCTGAACAGAATGAATGAAGTTTGGGTGTCAAAGATGCCCAAAAGTGATAATGAAGCTTGTGATAAAGGAATCTGTTGATATTCAGTAGTGGTCAGAGTGAAATGAGAATGGCACAAACACAAGTATGTATGACTTGAGTCAGAAAAAGAATGATTTTCCTTCTTTAGTTTTGAAATAATTGATTGACTCGAGAAATAAAACATAAGTCAAAACATGATCAGAATTATACCGACTCCAACCTGAATAGCATAAATGAATATTGGGTGATAAAGATGCCAAGATTATGAAAAAGTAACATACAACAAGTAGTTTAAAGATAAAATGATAAAGAAGCAAAACAAAAATCAAGATATTGATAGTAGAATAACATTTGATAATGAAATAAAAGATTTGGACTTTGATGAAGAATAATTCTCTTGAGATTCTGTAGTTGTTGAAGTGAAGTGAGAATGGCACAACATCAAGTGTGAGCCATAAAAAGAAAAATAACAATCAATAGATAAATGAAATAAAACATTAGTTTTTCCATCTCTAACACCAACAACGCTGGGCCGCTACACTAACCGTAGCGGTTAGTGTAGCGTAACACAGCAGAATTCCCGTTAGCGTTAAGCGTAGCGTAGCGGAATTCCGCCATGACACCGCTAACGCTACGCGTGTGGGCCACAAAAAAGGGCCCACTACGCTGCGCTACAGCCGTTTTTAGCGGTTTTTAGCCGCTTTTTCCGCTAAAAGCGCTGTAGCGCAGCGTAGCGTAGAGAAAATGCGCTACAAAAGCGCTAACACTACAAAAATTTGGCGCAAAAAAAGTGCCGCTACGCTACGCTTTTTGGGCCAAAAGCGTAGCGTAGCGTAGCGGCCCACCGCTGACACCAATAATGATATTAGATTGGTTTGAAAAGACTGATAGATTTACTGGTACCCCTTTCTTTAGAGCATCTCCCTGCGGCCCTATTTCCCTTACATAGGGCCCAAGAAAATGGCATAGGGCACTATCCAATTTTGGTTTCCACCTTAAGTGGCTTTATTGACCCCAGAGGTTGGTGAAAGACAATTGCTTGGAGTTGTGGTTTACGTGAGGGTGTGTGAAACCTTCTGATGTCCTTCTGATGCTGAAAATTTCACACAGGATGGGACCAATCAGCCGGGCCCTATTGAGTCTGTATATATACAGCTCAATAGGGACTGTTGACCCTGGTACCTATTATAGGGCCCCTCATAGGGGCTGTGGTGGCTGTGGTTTTGGGACTTGCAGGCCCTATATGTGGGATAGGGCCCCTACATAGGGCCTGTGGTTAAGATGCTCTTAGTTTTGATATAATTGATTCACTAAAGAAAGGAAAACCAGCACAGGGGGTTGAATTCTCCAATTTTTGGTTGAGTGTTGGCCGATGAAACATGGTTTGAGATTTGCATATGATTTTGAAAAGTTGTTCTGATTGAACAGATGAATAAAATTCAATATGTTTGTCTCTCTAGTTTTCCTCTTCAAAATTGAGGCCCAAAAGACAGAGTTACTTTCAGCTTGATCAGCTACTTTAGTCCAGCATGCTCTCCTACAACAGTTATATTTTGTCTTTCCTTGGCCAGAATCTCTTCAGCAAATTCTAACCTGTTAAAATTATAACTCATCCCTTTCCATTTGACAAAACATTCTATTTCAGCTGGAGTAACTTCTTTCACCTGAGCAAACAATTAATCCCATGATCATATGGAACCTTCAGATTTGTTTGAGAGAAACATCCAATGATTTTACAGCTTGCTTTTCAATTGTATTCAAAATGGGATGGAAAGAAACATCCCTTGTCTACCACACAGAAAAGAAAGCCAAACCAGGAAGCAATATGGAAAGACACTTTCAAATTGTAAACCCCATGCATGAGGCTACATGGTTTGGATTTTAAAACATAAGGGCCAGTACCATATGGCATGAAAATTCAAATTTCAAAAAAAAAACAGACTTCATCTTGCTCAAATTTTCAGATGATCAAGAGTGACTGTCACAAAAGACCAGTTTTTGGCCTAAAAGTGAAGAATTTCAACTGCAGAAGTCTCCACTTGTTATCAAGCTGTTCTTGAAGTCAGAGGTGGGGTTTGGAGGCAGGCAAATAGGCCTGGCAGCAAAAGAAAATATTGTATTTGCAATGTATTGCTATTGGCTTCAAAGGTCATCCAGCTTTTGACACAGTATCCACATGAGTAACAATGGAGGACCAACCTTACATAACTGAGCTTTTGCTAGCTCATGTATACAGCTATTTCGGAAAGGGTTGTCCACTTGGACTCGAGAAATCTTTTTTATTTTTTTATTTTTTTTATTTTTTATTTTTTTACTGAACTGGGCCTGTCAGAACTGAACTACTGATGACAGCTGTACCTCCTCGGCTGTAGTTCAGTACAAAGAAAAATTTAAAAATTTTCAAAAAAAAAAAAAAAAATTGAGAGACAACTGGACAACCCTTTCCGAAATAGCTGTAACAACCTTATGCCCCATGCACTTCTGGCAGCAAAATACCTATCGATCGCTTGTCTGAGTTATCTTGCTAGACAACATCGGGATGACAAAAATGATTCCGAGTACGGGAATCGAACCCGTCTCTACCGCGAACCGATCCGCACGAGCCGAGATCCGGCCAAGATCTGAAAGGCGGTCATACTAGCCGATATACTAACTCGGATTTCAGATATCCGGGTTAGCAAATTTGAAGATGTAAACGGGAATACTCAATGCACATTGGCCGTCATCAAGACGACACTATCGTAAGAGTTGAATAGGCCGTTTCGCATTCACTCAGACATCTCTTAACTACGTGTGGGCTACTTCTTTCTTTCATTATGTTTTCAGTTCCATATTTTTTCTTCGAGCCAGCTTTAATTCCAACAAATGAAGCACTGAGCAAGCACCTCTTAAAGCAGCACCACGATGAATAATACCTGTTGCAATGAACAAAGAAAATATTGATCGTCCGCAACTGGAGTGATGTTAACTTGGGAGTGCTTTGGCATCCCCGGTGGAAGCATGAGAGGACCACGAGGTGACCAATCATACCTTGGTGGGGAAGATTACAAGAAGTGTTTGGTGCCTCGGATCAAGAAAAGGGATTTTGGGGCCGGGGCACAATATGGGGAACTCGAATGATCACCAGTGCTGAGCAAAAGCTAAAGGGTGTCTTTGGACCATGGAAGTTGGGGGGGGGGGGGGGGGGGGGGAGAACTTGCACTATAATTCCCCCATCTGACCCTTGCTCGATGATATTGCCTTGGGGTCAGTTCAACTTGTTTCCTCTTCCAGATTTTCCCGCGTCTAGTGGGATAGGGTGGACTTCAGTGGACTTTGGTAATAAGCCACTTCGGAGAAATCTGTGCAAACCTTTGGGCGAGATCGCCGAGGTTCTTCGGCACGTGCATGCAGCGTTCCTTCGATCAGACCCACTGTCGGCTATTTGGGCAACCTTCCGAGTCCCGACCTGGCGAGTGCAAGCCTTCACATTCATGATTCATCATCCATGACGCCGGCAAGAATCTCCCACTAAGCTGATCACAGTCGTAGTTCGTGTACCGACGACTCTCTTGCAAACGCTCTATGAGTAAATTCAATTGAGTCTGATGCACGATTTCGGTCATCATCTGCTACCAATTCTGCTAGATTGTGCCGTTTCGTAATATGGTCCTCAAGAGAACTTGCAACATAGCGCCGATAATGATGCTTAGAATCAAGCTTATTGGTGGTCCTGGATTGGGAAAATGCTTAATCTCCGCTGCATTTCGTTCCTCCCCTTGGGATCTGATCTTTCCCTATCTAATTATCTATCTAGATCCGTTAAGTTTATGGATGTTTCGGTTTCTTTCTAATCTTATTGTTATTATCATTGCTCATCTTGTCTCTTGTGGTGGGACTCTGCTCCTTTTGCTTGCTTGGCTTTCAAGGATGAGCACGTTGTGCCCCTTGTAGTTATTGTAGATTTTTCCATAGGCACCAGAGTCAGCTCTCGAGAACAACCTTTGGGGGCATTGATTATCTCTTCAAAGTGACTAATTCAACCAACCGTCACTATATTTAAAACCCCCCCCAGTGATATAAATCTACCACCAATTGTGACAAACGTTCCAGACATTCTCCCTTGCTCACTCCACCACACTCTCTGGCGTAGGCCTTCGTGCAGTGGATTTCTATCGCCAAGCTAGCCTACGTAGTTCGACTAAATCCGTTCGGAGCCCTGATTAGAATTGTGTTTGACCGGAAGGCGAATAGAAACATCCAATTCAAGCTCACCCCGCTAGAATGCACCATACATAAAATCCTACTCCCGACTTTTGAATAGATCTTTCATCCTCATCACACAAATCTTCTGAAAGTTCTTGCTCATTGATACCCAGGCTCCCAATAACACTTGGCAATATCCTCATATCCCCCAGGTGAGCAAGAATCACTTTTGTTAGACTTTTCCTTCCAGAAAGCTTACTTCGATGTGCGCCTTTGTCTCAGAATCGACTATCTTCGACCTCTAGTTTCCGGTATGCTTTCACCTCCTCAGAAAGCGGGCAAAATGCTCAAATCTATCAAGCAACGTCTTTCGGGGGCTTCCGACAAGACCTCTAACAAGATCACTCAATCTAATTTGGTTTCCAACCTCAAGCGTACGGTTCAATCTACTCCCGACTTGCTCAAGATCCAGCAGGAGCCTTACGAGAGGGTCTGTTCGTCGCCACTTTCTCAAAACGCAACCGGGAAGCTTCCCCCTCTCCAACCTACCCCAACCAGCTCGTCGAAAAGTTTGAAGATGAATTGCGTCGCATCCTCTCCCGGTTGTATGCAATCTAGTTATTTGCAAGAAGGGCGCGCAAAACCCATGCCCGCAGAAGAGATCTTGTTCTCGCCTACGAAAGAATCCTTCAAATCTCCCAAGCCTAAAAAGATGAAAATAAATTTTGCTTTGGGGAAGAAGAAACGCCTCAGCGATTCTCAAGGGATTGGAGAAGCTGCTCCTAACCTGCCTATGATCACACTCACCACTCCCGATGATGAAGGGATTTACGTTCTTCATCGACCTACTCCTCCTATCTCTTCACAACCTTTCCTCGCGGTTCCCAACCGCTCCTGCTCTACTGCAAACACGTCCGAACCTCGAAAAGTCTCAGCGAAGAAATGGCCACACCCTGCCGGTCCCTGGCTTCGTCCCTCAAGCCCTGACGAATACCTAGTCAAGTCTAAGAATGATCAGTTGACGTGGCAAGAAGGATGGCGTCTAGCAACTGGTAGAGTCATCGGCTGGGATCCAGAATCTATGGACGCTCTTGGAATCGCCTTCCCGCCTCAACTTCCAACCGAACAAGACTTGAAAACGATTGCCTTGATCCAGCAAATCTCGAACAGTCTAGATCAAGCTCAAGATGCTCTTTACAGAAGTATGGAGGTCGACTGGGATTCGGATTTGGACGATGATGACGATGAAAAGATGATGGAAGAAAGCTTGTATTTCCCAGCCTGCGTGGTGAGTACAGATGATCAGTCTTTTTCCTACTTCCTTCTTCCCACTCAGCTCTGACTTTTCCATGGTTTTTTGCACATAGTCATCCTAGAAAAATCAGGTGGCGTGCACGAGGGAGGCGCCAATCAAGTCCGAAAAATGCATTCCTAGGCTTTCGACTGACGCAGCACCGAAAGACTCTCCTCACAACTTTCATACGTCTCTAGAACTAGTATCTGATTTTTTTTACGAAGAAACCCAGCTCAAACCTTTTCATGAAGGCTCGAAGTGCAGGATCAGGTGAATCCGAACTTATTTCTGTAAATAAAATGGCAGTGATGTAAATCTGCCTGAGTCATGATTGAAATCTGCTTCTACATATCTCACATATTGTACTAGTAGCAACAACTTCATCCCCTCCCTCAATAATCGAAATCCTTTTATCTATTTAACGATACCTTTCTTGAAAAACAATATTAATTTAATTCTCAAAAAAAAAAAACCAGCATCCTTTCTTAGTTTTTAAGTAAGCAAGCTTCAGAGATCTGAAAACAAACTCTGTCCATGCGATCACCCTACAGAAAGGGTTTAGAATTTTCAAGCGATGTCTCTTGCGCGTACCCCCCAAAAACCCCGTTCTGATGTGTTTTGCTTTCGAGTAATTTATGATCTATGATTTCCTTCCGCGTGAGTTGTGACTTTCTCCTGAGTTATTTGGATTTCTAATAACACAATAGAGGGGTTCACGATAGCCTTTCTGGCTTCTCACGTCCCTTCATTTTTCTCCTTGCTTGCAAAAATTTCTAAGCTATGTAAAATTTTGAAATTCTTGTCGCGAAATTTTGCGCCCGCAGCAGTGCTGTGGCTTCTCGCGGTAACCTCTTGCAAGGAGATATCGTGACCCCCCGCCAGTTTCTCCTGTTTGATTTGAGTATTTAGCATGAAAATAACATAGGGCAAAGTTGAGCAAACCCTTCTTACAATAGACAGTAAGGGGGGGGGGGAGTTGCTGAATAATGTAGGAGTATTATGAGGACGTGCGAAAGCCGACACCAAAAAAACAAGGGAAACCCCAGCAATTGGTTGAAGTGACCTCAAAATCGGTGGTTTTGACCAGCTGTAATAATGCATATTCAAAATAGACCGTTTGGGTAGGTTAAGTTAATTCATCTCTCTTTTTATTCGACAACTTTGAAGTTATGCAAAGGGAAGCGGAGCCAGCTCCTATGACCAGCTGTCACAAGCTGAGAAGCTTCCATGTGAAAGCTCAGATCTGATTATGGCATTCTCCCAGAATGGCCTTTCTTTAGCAAGAGTACCAATATATGTCCTGAATACCTCATCATCTCAGGAAATCTGACTCCTCTTTCACATACATTCATGTATCTAAAGAAAGATGAATTCATCATCAAATAAACCCAAGAAACTAAACACGTAGTGCCAGTGTGACTGCTAGTTACTGCTACTATGAGTTTGTAGCTCAAACATGTAACAACTGTAGAGCAAGGCGGCAAGCATCTGAGTGGTCTGCTAAGAGAACACCAGTTTTACTTTTGGATAATTATGACTCACTCAACAAGCCTTAGAATAGGAGTTACTTTTGTCTGTGTGTGTGTCTGCGAATATAGCACTCACTAGAAAATCCGCTGGGAGATCTTCTCTTGAGACTCGTGTACCCATAAGTACAACCTGCAACTACATAAATATGTACCTTCTGCAGATCACCCACACTGATCTATCGCACTTGTTTTGGGGACGTGATGACAATGATGATATGGTGGAAGTCAATGTGATATAACTTAGGTAAATACGGTATTTATTTACACAAATGTTTTTTATAAGATGACCAACAAAAAGAGATGGGGAAGGGGGGACTCGGAGGTCACAAATATGTAACAAGTGTATATGGAGCATCTAGACAGAGAATGGCAACTTCTTCTTTCTCTCTTCGATGTATTTATATTAATGTGTTTGTGTAATGATAGATAATTAGAATGTAAGACTTTGTTGACAAAAACAAATAAATCAGTTATGCATATATAGATATATACCTTTGTTCTTCGATTGAAGTTAGATAGACATGGATGGTGAATAAACTTAAACGTGTTCGAATTTGATATGGAGCGGAAGAATGAACGGGCCATTACAAACGTTTTGGTGTTGTTTTTGTGATGAAAAATAAAATAGAGTTGACAATCATGAGTAGAAAGAAGCGAGAAGGAAATCAAAAACAGAACAAGGGAAGAAAGATTAATGAGTAGACCGTTTGGGAGATATCACATCGTGTCTAATAAGAATGTCTCATCCTAGAATAAAGAAGAAATGAATTTCTTGATTTTTGTTTGTTTGAATATGGATGGAGATAAGATGATGATGATGTAAACGACTGCGAAGACTGGGCTCAGAAGAAGAATAAGAAGGTAAAAAAGTGGGGGTGGGTGGGGTGACCATTGAGGCAAAGTAAGGACAGAGAAGTTAAGACGACAAAGACTAGAATGATTAAGAGTGGATATGAGCAGCCGAACTAATGAGAAGGGCAAGGAGACTAGTGTAAAGGATCGATGGCGCGATGATCGAAAGCATGATCCCAGTTATCGGTTGGACGAGTGGCTGGGTGAAGATCAAAGTCCAGAACAAGTTGATCGATCGAGTCAAGATAATCAATGAAGACCAAGGAATCGCAAATAGACCAACTGAATTACAACAAATTCAGGTTTAGTAAGTGGTGATTTGAATTTGGTACTATGTGCTTAATTTGTGACTTACTTGCGAATTGGAACTCGGTCCTAGTGATATCTAACCACTCATCTGCGGACATCGATTTAGTTTGACTTCCAGAGCTCAAGTGCTTAGATTTAGAAACCTGTCTGTGAATTGCTTTAGGTGGGGCGTTTACAGCTGCGACCGGAAGTTGCTCAGACTCGGCTTTCGCGTTTTCTTCGACAGAAGGACTGATTGATTGCGGATGAATTTGCTCTGATTCGAGCGACTTTTGATGTTGAGACTCTGGTTTTTGAGAAGCAGAAGCAAACGAGTGATCGTGGAGATCTTCGTGAGAAGTCTCTTCTTCGACCTCCTCATCTTCTTGTGGGGCTTGAGCTTTCGAGATAATCTCTGGTGGGTGGTTGAGCTGGTCGACTGATAAAGAGTCCGATTGACTGGTGATAAAGGGCACGTAATCTAAACTAGGGGCAATAGATTCAGGAGCTTGAAGGAGGAACGTACGGGTGAATCAGTCAATTAGTTATAGTGGGAATCGGGGGGAGAGAGACAGGGGGTTTTGATGAGAGAGAAAGATAGAGAGAGAGACCAACTTCGAGGTTCGTTGATCGAGCCTGAATGATCTTCATGGGACTTATCGTTGAACTCGGCGAGGCTGGAGTGAGATTGGATGCTCTCGATGGAGAGATCCTCAGGTCGATCGAAGCTGGTATCATCGAAGGAGGTGTTGGTGATCGGAGGGGAGAAGAGTGGTGGTTCAGGTAACTCTTTTTGGTGTTGGTAGTGTTTTGAGTCTAACTCTGGACCAGGCCTGTTTGGATTCAGGTTCATCATCTTCAGACCATGGCAATCTTTGGTTTTCTTTTGTCACTATTTCTGTGAATATCTCTAACTTACAATGAGGGGACTGATGAGAGTCCTGGATGGTTCTCGTCGGTATGATGGTGTTGGTCGGTAGTGGTATACTGCTCGACTTGACTGTTTTTGTCAACCAAATATTTATTTTGAATCCGGTCAGGAGAGCACTACAAGGCATAGCTTAGTTTTCAATGCTTACGCCATTCTTGCTGTTTGTTTGTTGTTGTTTTCGAAGTTCTTTGAGTTTTGGGTCTTTTGTTGTTTGAGATGGTTCTGGTCAAGTTCAGTTCTGTTGACCGGTCAACAGCCAAGTCCGCCCCTCCCTTCCCTTAAATTGCCCGGCCACTGAAACTTTTATGTAGGTAGCCCCGACTGAGTGCTTACCTAATCCGATCCTCTTTCAGTTAAGGCGTTGAGAATCTGCAGCCTGGGATTACTGGAAACTTTCATCTTGGCTTTTTACAGACAGTTGTCTCAGTGATGTTGAAAAATAAAAAATATGAAATAACCATGCCTCTTGGAAATAGTTTCAGGATCGGAGATGAAAAAATCAGAGGCAAGAAAATCACACATCCATCCGCACAGCCAAGGAAGGAAAAAGAAAAGGAGGGCAGAAAATATGTACATTAATAAACAAAAGCCAACAAGTTACCAATGGGAAGATCTGAAAAGGCGCCTTTGGGAAACCCCACCAACCAAAAACAGCCAATGAAAACGCGTGTTTCCATAATCTTCCTCCAAACCCAAATCTCAGTCAGCTTACTATCCTATGATTTCCCAGAGGAATATAGGATAACCAGTAGGATGATCTGATTTCTTTTTGGACCGAACATTATGGGCATTCTTAAAAAAATAATGATGATAATATGGATTTCATAACATCTCCAATGAAAAATCAAACTGTTTGGATTTGGTACAACATGCAAGCAACAAATTGTAAAATAAAAACAAAACAAAAAAATACAATCAATCAATCGCGAGTTGATCACTAGGGTTCAGGAGATTAATCTTAAGGAAGCTAATCGACCTATAAAGTGACCGGCTATGAAAGATGGGAGGATGGTCGAATGTGGGCCATGATGCTTTGCGGGTCAGTCTCCCGCTCGCCGATTCGAGAAGAGTCAAGGTGTGTAATACTTTCCATGGTATCGATTACCAGACTCTGGTTGGATGAAGTCAGGGACTTGAAAGATAAGGACGATAACGACCAAGCTTTGGATGCAAAGAGCTCAAGCTCAAGACCCCCTCTCAATCGTCAGAGATCTTTTGAGAGTTGTCATCGCGCAACCTCATCATTGAAGACTTCTGATTGATTGGTCTAAACTTGAGTTGAATTTGCTGGAGGGTTGTCGGACTTATCCGGCGGCGTACTGGTCGAATTCTGGTTCTGGTTCTGGTTCAGTTGTTGGTGTAGCTCAGGAAAATGGTCGGCCAGTTTGTTTTGGAGGAGTGTTCGGTATTGCTTATAAAAAGAAAAAAAAGGCGAGTCAAAACAAGCGCTTCAGTTGTGTGGGAAAGGGAAAAAGAAAATTGAAATTGAAACCTGAGAATGATACTGTTACATACGTTTATGTTTGATAGAATTCCATTGGTGTACATATTTTCATGGGCTGCACGTTCGACAAAGGACTTCAACCATCGATCGGGATTGGCTCCTTGATCGACCTGGCTATGAATGGCGTCCAAAAAGGGTGGTTTGTTTTGATTGGGTCAGCCGATTCGGATGATCTTGACGAAGACTAGCAGAACAGAAAAAAGTTGTATATACTCACGTGATTACTTCGAGTGGGATCGGAATCTCAGAGGCGATGTTCGCGTTTAATTCGTACAGCTCTGCCATATGACCAATAGATTCATTTCTGTTTTTGTTAAATGCATTCAAGAAGAAATTTCTTCTTTTCAGTATTTGTTTAGAGTATATATTATTACAACATGGCTAGGAAATATGGGAGAGTTTCGAACTTGCATTTTTTTACCGACCAAGCCTCCTGGTCCTAAGGGCTCTCCTCGACCCGTCCGGCCTCCCTCACGTGCGTTTTCTTGAACATTACTCGTACCTATATAACATATAATGGGGCGGGGTCTTTAGCGAGAGGCTTGAGAAACGCGCGAAGTATAACGAGGGAGAGAGAGAGAGAGAACTGTGGACGAACAGATACCGACTTCGAGGAGACTCTGTAAGAGTTGTTCTAGTTTGTCTTCCAAGTGGGCTCGATGGACTTCCTCTGCAGTCGAATACTCCGATTGGAAGCCAGGTGTTGATTGCGGCACGCCAGGTGAGTTGGTCGATGGTGGAGACATGGTTCTTGGCCAAACTTGCCAACTTCAAACACTGGCTGAGGCTCTTCCCTCAGATCTCAATCCAAAGTCGCACCAACCCCGACTCCCCGAGATGATCACCCGGGGCAAGGGAGTCCCACATTTTTACATTTTTTTCTGAAACCGGGCTTCAGCAATCGGACAGAAACGATGAGCAACCTTCCTGCAGTAAGTTTCTTTTACCTCATATACTCACAAAAGCTTTGGGGAGATCAATTGACTGACCACCGAGGGGTTTTTCTTTCTTTGGGATAAATAGGACAACGAACTGTATGGCACATTAGACTATTGGAATTCGCGCTACGCAGAAGAACAGGAAGAGAGTCGCTTCGAATGGTTCAAGTCGTACAAGGATCTCTCGAATCTGATCGAGCGCTATGTAGCCCCAAGTGCTCAGATTTGTATGCTGGGTTGTGGGAATTCTAGTGGGCAACAATCCTATTTTTTTTTATCATCTGCTACATAGACATGGACAACCTATTGACGTTTTTCCTACCTACTCAAATTGGAAAAATCATTTGTTTCTTATGATTTTTTTTCCATCTTGGACCTAATTCGACTTTTTGGGAGGGTTATTCGACCTTTCAACTTATAGGTCTCTCCAAGGATATGTATGACTCTGGGTTCCACAGGATAGCCAATGTCGATTTCTCCCAAGTTTTGATCGATCGAATGCGCTCTCAGCATAGCGAAAAATGTCCCGAGATGACATGTAAATACTTTCCACGCTTTTTTTCCTTTCAAAAATCTTGTGATTTATGTAGGTTGAAAATTGTGTTGATAAGTGTGGTTGTGAATCTGACATCTAGGGATACAGGCCGACGTAAGGCATCTACCCTTTCCGGATTCATCCTTCGATGCTGCTATTGATAAAGGTCTGCAGATTTTGTTTCGTTGCTCAGCTTGTGGAGGGGATTAGGTAACTAAAGTTATGTTTGACACGTTTTCAGGAACAATGGACGCTCTGATGTGCGCCAAAGGAGACGTTTGGGTAAGAACCACGCCGTTCCAATCGCCTCTAAACAGACATCTAAAATCCTCGGTCTAATTCCAAACACTAGGACCCACCAAAAGAGGTCGTCGAGAATTGCAAAATGGAAGTGGATGAAGTGGCAAGGTATGCGGATTTATTCCTGCCTTGGATGGCTTACACAGCTCGAATCAAAGCCAAGGCGTGGCACTCAAGAGCGTAAGAATTGACATTCGCTTACTACATATTAGAATCCTCAAGCCTGGTGGGGTCTTCATCTACATCACCTTCGGCCAACCACATTTCAGGAAAACTCACCTGCAGAGACCGGGGATATGGTCAGTCGAAGTGATCGAGCTGGGGGATATGTTTCACTATTATTTCTATGTGATGAAGAAATACATGGATCCCCACACTTGAAAGAACTGCCCAATCCCGCCATCACAAAGCTTTAGACAGACGTCTCCGCGAGCAGATATGTGTGATTTGCGACAGTAGATTTGCAAGCGTCTTTCAAGACATTCCATTGAAGTTAGCAGCCATGACGACACCAGTCGTTGCGAAAATTCAGGCAAATGTCGGTGCAGGATATACATTCTGGGGAAGCAGAGTAGCTTTGCTGCATTCCGGAAAGGGCTGACTGGACCTGTGGCGGAGCTTCTAAGTTCTGACACAATGTGATTGCTTTCAGCTTTTTGGTGAACGTTGCAGAAAAACCCTTTGTGAGAACAGCCGGTCAACCATCCTTCGCGAGAGCCGACAGGCGACCAACGGCTGAGTTGGGTTAGCCGGCAAGCTGTATCAGGCTCCGAACCCAACGGCATCGGGTGATTGGAATCGATCAAAGTTTGTATATGACGAACCTTTATGGATCGGTTCTTCATCCTGTGTCTTGGCAATTGGGGCAAAGCTCAAATGCGCGTCTCTGTCACGCCCTACCAGACAGGCGTCAGGCGTGAACCGTGATCGCACCGAGGTTATCCAGACCGGAGCAGGGTGTCACCTTTCAAGACTTCCAGCCCGTCCCTGAATAAACCAAGCAGCATGAGCCTGGTAGAGCGGGATGATCAGTAATAATCCCCCATTGCCCCTCCCCCTTACTCGCCAGTCACGTGACGATTTCCTTCTTCCGGGTGGTTTGGGGTGATTGCTGCACATTAGATCTCCTTCTCTGTCAGAGATCGACGTTCGAGGGACAATCCATCTCGAAATACATATTTGAGTAACGAGACTTCATCTCTTTCCTGAAGGTACATACGAAATAGATAGGAAAGAAAAGAAAAGATGCCGAACTCGACAGTCTCTATATCTAACTTTTATATGCTCGTTCTATTCAGCTTGCTAAGTATCCAAGCTATCAAGGCCGACATGTCACCTAACCGGTGGGTTTTGATTTCTGTTTCTACTCCACAGGTTCTGTGAAATATGCCCCGTTTTGAGTTTTCCTGCTGACTTGAGTCTTGATTTAAATCCCGCTATTCTTCCTTGGTAGGGTCGATTTAAAAAACGTCCAAGGCGATATTATCATTGGTTTGCAAAAACGTTACGAGGCGTTCTGGTTTTGCAGTTTGAAATCAGACCCAGGATCAATCGAAGGTTTTCGTAGAAAATTGAAAAGCGACTTACTTCCGTTGATCACAACGACGCAAGGCGTGATTGACACACAAAGGGTTATAGATGATTATCAACAAAACCTGGAAGAAGGGGAAGCCAAAAAATGGCTTCCGATTACGCACGTTAATTTAGGATTTACTTATGATGGATTGGAGAAGTTGGGCTTGAAGGCCGAGGAGATCCCTAACGGCAAGAACGGAGTATTTTTAAAAGGTCAAAAACTTGATGCCATCGACAACTTGGGAGACCCGGTAGATCAAGCAGCGAAAAAATTAAAAACATGGTCTGATGATTTTTTGGATGAAGTTAACCCGATCGATTTCGTCGTCTTGATCACTGCCCCAAACTCGAATTTACTAGATCAAAAACTGGACCAGGTCCGCAGGATGTTGGATGGGTACTTGTCTAGATCTTTTCTTCGCCAGGGTAATGTCAGGCCTGGTAATCAGTATGGTAATGAGCATTTTGGATACCCGGTTAAGTGTCTTGCTTTCTCTTGTTGTTTTCTGTTATATACTTGGCACGACACTTCTTCAATCAACACCTGACTCAGAATCGGTAACTTGAACAGGATTCGATTTCCATCCCGAAGATCAAAGGTGTAAATGCTCGACCGGAAGATGAAAAAGCCGGGATAGTTGAACCAAATGTGATCTTACTAGGCTACCCCTCTCCCAATGGGAACAACACTGATCCCGATTCCAATCACGCATGGCTCAAAGATGGCTCGTTTATGGTTTTCCGACAGCTCCAACAACTCGTACCCGAGTTTCAAACCTTTTGTGTTGAGACCGCTGAAAAATTTGAACACTTGAACATATCTGGTGAATTTATTGGTGCTAGAATCATAGGCAGATGGAAATCAGGTATCTTTTCATCAGACTTGCGCAATATCACTGGCCTAGAATGTGCTTGATTGATGCTTTCTTTTTAATTTCCAGGAGCACCGCTGAGCTTGGCTCCCAACGAGGATAATCCAGAATTGAGTGGATCACAAGATTTTGACTATTCGGATGAATTGAAACAAGAGCGGTGCCCCTATGCTGCTCACATCAGGTATTATTTTTCCACAATTCGAATGAGAGTAGAATCTCACAGTCTTAAAATGCGTTCTTTTCAACGTTTTTGCTGCCAAATTTTCAGAAAAACAAACCCACGCATTGGTGCTCGACCCAACGCAGATCACAACCTCGTCTTACGTCGCCTGATGGTTAGAAGTGGAATTCCCTACGGTTCGATTCAAACGTTCTTCTGTATAAATCTTAGTCTTATCCACAGAGAGCAGCGGAACACTCAATCGCTGTTCCCTTCTAGGTCCGGAGCTCACAGAGGAAGAAAAAACCATGAAGAGAACGGAAGAAAACCGTGGTTTACTATTTGTTTCGTACCAAGGTGAAATTGCCGACGGATTCCAGCACGTTCAGAAAGTAATCCTATCTTCCACTCATCTAATTTTCATTCCCCGTCTTGAATCGAAAAAGCATTGAAAAGATAAACTTTATTGTTCTGGAGTTTAGGCATGGTGTAATAACCCCAACTTTCCATCACAACCAGTGGCTAATGTGTCCTCCGGATTGGATCTACTGGTCGGTCAAAACAGCGACGAATCACCCCGAACAGCCCAAAACATCGTCCCATTGGTTAGAAAAATGGTTTAATTTCTTTTGTTGGAAAATTATTAACCTTCTGGCTATGCATTTGCAACACCGCAGATACCAGGAGGCAATACCGACCCTGACAACACATTGACCGCTTTTCAGCCTTTTGTTGTTCCTCTTGGGTAAGCTCATGGATCATTGGTTGATAGCGAACCGCTCTCCCTGGAATTCCTCTGACATCGCTGAATTTTTTTTTTTTGTGCACGGATGGGACCCTCATGACTTGGATCGCCAGTGGAGAATACTTTTTCATGCCATCGATCAACGCCATAAGCGAAAAACTTGGTCTTTGATCGAAGATAAAAAGTAAAACGCTCACTCCCTTCGTTGTACTAGTTGTACCGGGAAGAAAATGTGATGAGAAGAAACTCAAAATCGAACCGATCCTCATGTGTAACTTTTCTTTGCCATACTCAAACATCCAAATACATTCACATCTTGATTGAAGCTTGTACATACTCACTTTCGTTCCCTTGATACGATGAAATTTGGCAATCTTACAGGCCATGGCAAAAGGACATAAACATTCCTGTGTTGCCAATATTTATGCTAAGATATGGTTCAGAAGCAGTGACCCCGCAATATGAGCATACACGATGTAAGCGCAGATTTTTTTTGTTACCGCATCCAGATAGAAAGTAGAGATATGATAGGTCAAACCCGCATAGTTAGACGTTTCGGACTATGTTGGTGATTGCTAAATCGGGATTCGGAGATAGTCTGCGATACCAGCAACGACCGAATTTTAACCTAGTCCCAATGTGCTTGCGAGGCGCGAGCATCCTCCTCCTTTGCGGAAGGGTATTGTAGTATTGTTAAGTTGGCGCAACAGCAGTAGTTTTGGAGTCGTTCTTTGCGATCGCGTTCGACTCTGCCTTCAATGTGGGGACCAGACGCGGGTGCATGTCACGTACTGTGGGTCCGACGTGATTGCAGATAACCAGAGCAATGTAAAGTTTTTGTCTTTCTTTGTAGACTCGCAGCCCTTTTCTGGATCGATCAAACAGTAATACTAATGTGGTTAAGTCTGGTTGAGCGGGACAATCAGTAAGAATGCCGATTATCCCCACCGCCCCCCCCCCCCCCCCGTGGTGCTCAGAAATGTGCCAATTGGCGTCATTCTTAAATGCTTGACATCAGATCTCCTTCAGAGACCGAGGCTTGAGGGGAAATTGCTTTTGAAATACATAAATAACGAGACTACATCGGTTTCCTACACAAGCAAAATAGACACATATTCACATAGGAAGAAAAAAAAATGTCAACCTTAACATTTTCCGTCTCTAACTTGCTTTTCATCATTTTACTCAGCATACTAGGAATCCGCACCACCAAGGCGGAGCTATCGTCTTCCCAGTGGGTTTTGCTTCCCATCTTCACTCCATCAATTTCTCATCTTCCTTTAAAGTGTACATTTGGCGAGTGTCTTGATTCTACTCGCCAGGTCTATCATTTTTCTTTGTGATTTCGACCACCTTCCAACTGAATCGAATGACATGCGACTTGACTGAGCCATAGCCATCTCAGAAATAAGACGTTGCAAAAGCAAAACATTATATGACGCTTCATGACTCATGTTGCATTTCCAATACTTTCCTTGCTGACGTACATCTTGTTTATCTCTCATTTTTTCTGCTTGATAGGGTCGATCTGGCAAACGTCCAAGGCGATATTATTATTGGTTTGCAGAAACGTTTTGAAGCATTTTGGTTCTGCACTTTAAAATCAGATTCAGCATCAATCGAAGGCTTTCGCAGAAGCCTAAAAACCGACTTGCTTCCATTAATTACAACAACACAAGGTGTGATTGATGCACAAAAGATCATAGATAATTATCAACGAAACCAGACAGAAGGGAAGACCAAGCGATTGCTGCCCATTACACACGCTAATCTAGGATTTACATTTAATGGATTGAGAAAGTTGGGCATGAACGCAGAAGAGATCCCGACAGGAAAAAATGGAGTATTTTCAAAAGGTCAAAAAGTTGACGCCGTGAAAAACTTGGGAGATCCGGTGGATCAAGCAACGAAAAAGTTAAAAACCTGGTCTGACGATTTCTCAGACGAAGTTAACTCGATTGATTTCGTGGTTCTGATCACTGCCCCGGACTCGCATTTCCTGAATAAAAAACTCGACCAAATTGGCAAGATATTTGATGGGTACTTGCAAAACTCTTTCCTTCGTCAAGGTAACGTCAGACCTGGTGACCAGTTTGGTCATGAGCATTTCGGATTTACTGTTGAGTAACATCATTCATTTCATTCTGTTATTCGTGATACGGATTCATGAGTTTCTCAATCAGTGGCTGACTAAGAATGGGCAACTTAAAAAGGACTCGATTTCGGCGCCAAAGATTGAAGGTGTAAATGCTCAACCAGAAGATAAAAAGGCCGGAGTAGTTGAACCAGGGGTTATCTTACTTGGACAACCTTCTTCCGGTGGGAACAGTAGCGCCACGGATCCCAAACAAGCATGGCTCAAAGACGGATCGTTTATGGCTTTCAGAGAGCTCCAACAACTTGTACCAGAGTTTCAAAATTTCTGCGATGAGTCTGCTAAAAGTGTCAAACACTTGAATATATCTGGTGATTTTATTGGTGCCAGAATCGTGGGCAGGTGGAAATCAGGTGTGATTTTGGGAGATTTTCTCAAGACTTTAGCAGCCAAGCAAGTGCCCGATTAACGTTTCTTTTTTCTCAGGAGCACCCCTCAGTTTGGCTCCCAACGAGGATAATCCGGAATTAAGTGAAGCGCAGGATTTTGACTATTCCGATGAATTGAAACAAGAACGTTGTCCCTATGCTGCTCACATCAGGTACTGTCTTCTGACGCGATTGGCGAGAATTGCATGCTCAGAATAGTTTTCTTTCTTCGTTTCAACTTTAGGAAAGCTAACCCACGCAATGGCATTCAATCCGGCGCAGACCTCCGAAAAACTGTCTTGCCTCACCTCATGATCAGGAATGGGATTCCCTATGGTTTGTTTTTGTGGAAGCATCAACTTCATATCAGAAAGGATAAAAGCTAACATTGATATTCTGAATTTAACTTGTAGGCCCCGAGCTCACAGAGGAAGAAACAGACATGATGAAAACAAAAGAAAACCGTGGTTTGTTGTTTGTCTCTTACCAAAGTGAAATTGCGGACGGATTTCAATTTGTCCAAAAGGTAACCCTATTTTTAATCAGATAATATTCTTTCTTTCGATATAAGTGATAAAAGAATAACTCTATCTTTTTGGTCCTTTCCTTGAACCAAGACATGGAGTAATAATCCTCGTTTTCCCGCGCAAACGGCCGCCAACGTAACCGCAGGATTAGACTTGTTAGCCGGTCAAACCAGCGATGAATCGCCACGAACCGCTCAAAACATCATTCCTTTGGTAAGTAGTATTGGTTAATTTGTTTTTCAAATAAGATATTCATTTTTTTGGCTATATGTTTGCAACACCACAGGGTTCGGAAGGGAACACTGATCCCAACAATACGTTGACCGCGTTTCAACCTTTCATTGTTCCTCTTGGGTCAGTTCAATGAATCCTCGAGTTCACAACATATCGCTGAAATTTCTGTTTTTCACATCCGCTGATGGGATCCTCACGCGTCTAATCTGTAGTGGAGAGTACTTTTTGATGCCATCCATCAAAGCCATCAATGAAACACTTGGCCTTTGATCACAAGACCGATTAAAAATTCGTAAATGATCTTGAATCTCCATCCATGATGGTACATATTGGATAGGCAATCTGCGGAGCAGAAACAATCAGTTAATCAGATCCGAAAGCGAATAAAAAGCTTGGTATATTCTATTGAACCGTTAAGTGCGGTCCGGGGTGTCACTTGATACCAAACTCGAACCAAACATCATTTTTCTGCCCTCCCTGTCTCAATGTATAAATAGCCTCGGCCTCTTTTTTCCCGCTCAGTTAAAGTCCCAAACGTCTCTTGTCTTTCGTTGTCGTTTCTTTTTTATTTCTCTTGAATTGTATTTCAAACGTGTAATTAGCGAGATCAAATCAGAGCATTTGCAACGTCAAGACTGCTCTGTGGTGTAGACCAGTCCACTTCAGGCTAAGATCTGAAGCCGTTGGTATTGAAAAAAAAAACACGCCAAGTGAAAATAAAAAGAAGCCTCCTCTCGAAGACTGGAGTTATTCTCTTAAGGTACTCCATCAGTCATCAAGACCCAAACAAGCACCACCCCTCACACCAGGGTCTTACCTCAATTTTTGAGCTAATGTTGTGGTATGTTCTGTTGGTCCATTTGGTAACACACAATTTGTTTTTTTGGTCTTCAATTCAATTGTTTTTTATGAGGCAATGAAGTAAAAAATTATTTCAAAAAAAAACTCACCACAATCTACTCTTTATTGAAAATCACATCATGCTGCCTTAACTGAAAATTTTTGAAACCAATAATTCTGATTTGAGTTGAGAAGAAAAGCTTCCTTCATGACCACTTCAGCCTTTAAACTTACTATCTGTGTAATAAGGTATTGTAGCTCATACTGAAGGTGAGTTGGTAACTGGTTTCAATGTTACTACACCAATCCCTGGACGTGTTTCTGTGATTACTTAGAGTGGTAATTGTTGACTAGTTGATTGTTTTACTTGTGCACCTCCACTTTGTTTTTCAAGCCCATTTCTTCTTCACCAAATCCGACCCCCCCAAAAGGTTCAGTCCAGGAAATGCCCCAGAATTCATTGTAGCTCAAATGTAGCTACACCTTGCTCTACCTTTTTGGTTCCCTGTTGTCCTGGAATGATCCAACTATAAATATAATTGAAAGAAAAGAGGATAGCATAATATATTTACAAATAGAACAGGGCTCAGCTTAGAGATCGTTCCACGGTACCCTTTGCTAGGTACCTAGTACCGCTTGGGGGGTACCCTTCACACCCGCCCCGCACCCGTCGGGAGGTGCCAGGTGCGGTACTTGGTACCTATTTTTGTGAAAATTTGAACAGGTACCTAGGTACCGCTACAGGTACCCCCTCACTTCCCTACCAAAATGACGGTGGCCTTCTACTCCAAGAACTCCAAGAAGGTACCTTGGCTACATGGAAACAGGGACTCAAGGATAACAAGAAGTCTAACCAAAAATTAAAAAGGAAGGTGATAGTTTTGGACAACAATGAAGATTCTTCTAATAATCTAATTAGATATAATTTGTAGACAGTTTAAGCTTTAAAATAAATTATTAAATGTGAACAAATGAAAAAATTGACTTGGGATTGATGTTTTACAATAAATATGAAAAAAGGCAAGATTATTCCCATTAAATGTAGACACTTGACAACAAATATGAAAAAAAATGCCAAAAAAGTTACTTGAGTAATATTTTACAATAAATATGAAAATAATAATAATAATGAAGTAAGGTTCTTCCAATTAGTTTAAGATGCCTTACAACAAATATGACAAAAGGAAAAACAGTGACTTGGGAATGATATTTTCAATAAATATGAAAATATAATAACACAGTAGGATTCTTCCAATTTGTTGTCAACATTGCACAATGAATATGAAAGAATGGAAAAAAAGTGACTTGGGACTGATATTTTACAATAAATATGAAAAAAATAATAATAATAAAGTGACTTGGTAATCTGAAAGTGAACCTAGGTTAGAAAGAGAGGGGAGGTACCCGCGGTACCCGCGGTACCCGCCAAAAGTACCGCCGGTACCCGCCAGGAGGTGCCTGGTGCGGTACTTGGTACCTATTTTTTGAAAAAATTCAACAGGTACCTAGGTACCAACAGGTACCCGAGTACGAACGAACAATCTCTAGCTCAGCTCATGCAATAAATGGAGAGCCAATGGTAATTTATTTATTTTAAATTGATTTATCAATTAGACTAGGTATTGAGTTGTGGTTGTGTATGCTGTGAAGGTATTAATTTAGTTTTGAACCCAAATTTTTGCGCATTAACTTGATTATTTTTCTCCTATTTTCTATCAAAATAGCATAGTATGCAGACTATACCCAGATGATCCATCAAACCAAGTTTATACTTACAAAACATTATATATAGTATTTCTTTGTCATGAGATATGTGTCCCTTGGAGGATTCTTTTTATAATCATCCAGATAGTAGGATCTATAATTTAACAGTGGGTGCCACTGCACAAAAAGTCTTGATGAAGATCACTCACTGGGTTTAGGAGACCTTAAGGAATGATAATGATGAATTTACATGACCAAGGCAGAGTAGAAAGGGGAAGTGAACAAAAAAAGACTCAAGGAAAAAGACCCAGAGTCCAAGAAAAAGGTGTTCAAAGAGCCCCAAAAAGGCTAGAGCTGTTAGCTTGTGTGGTGGAAAAGCTCACACAATAAAAGTGGTTGTATTGTATGGAGACTTCAGGGAAATGCACGCAGGAAAGCAGATGATTTTCATTACTATCATTGAAGCTTGTTTATTAAGCTAATACAACAGTGAGGGCTCAGTTGTGGGACAGAAGGTGTAATGTATGTGCATCTGAAGAGAAATAAAAAAGAGTTACAGGTGTGATAGGAGTGACAGAGCTAGAGAAGAGGCAGAGAAGAGAAAACAGGAAACAACCGCATTCCAACAGATAAAATTGGTGAAAATCATTTCAACATTTGGTTGTTACCATAAATTACTTGATAGTTTATCATTTGAATTATTGAAAAGCAGATTTTTCAGCAAACTTTTGTAATGATTCAAATCCCTAGACTAATCTTTCCAAACTTGAAATGACAAGCTGATCATACTAATGAGAGCTCATGGTTTTATTTTGTCATTCAGAACTCTTAGCAAACTTATTCTTTTGGTGGGTTTGATGTTCATACTTTGGCCATTCCCAAGCTAATACAAGTTTGTAGTGGGAAATTCTTACAAAAACTCAATCATATGATGAAGCCTACTGAATGATAGTTGTAACTATGTAGAGGAACCTACATATCTCTCATGAAAAAACCTTCAGACATTTTTTCAAAAATTTTATAACAGCCAGAGAGGATGCATAATCCGTTTCAGGGGTGAGGCTCTATCTGGGATGGCATACTTGGCCAGGAAACTCGCCAAGTTCTGACCCAGTATCTACGGCTTTGAGCGATTTTCTCAAAAAACCCACGTGAGAACGGTGAGAGCAGCACGAAAAAAGATTGACCATCCTTCATGAGCGCCAACGAGCGACCCCAGGATGATTTGGCTAGGCAACCGGCCCCTAGAGAAGGAAGGGAATTGGGTCAAACTTGTGTGCTAAGACGTTTTCTGCTATGATGGCGATCCGGGGCGATCCCCGCATCGGGAATCGGAGATACAGGCCGGATATGCGCGATGCAATAGCACCGGCACTAGTTTTGTAATCTCAACTGCATCTTGGGAGCCTCATTGTTTGGATGTTTTTTGTATGAATTTTGTCCGACTCTGTCTTCGTAGAGCCCAGACGCGGTTGTTTCTCGGCTAGACTGGATCGCGCAGACCATTCAGTTTTGTCGGTCTTTCTACTACAGTGGTGGACACCATATTACTGTAACAGATTTTACAGTGTCCCAAATTTTGGGTGGGAAAAATTTGGAAAAATTCCCTTGGGAGCAGGGGGAAAGGAGGGTGAGGGGTGATATTTTTGAGAAAATTGATGGGTCAGGTTGGTCAAAGTTTGTTTTTCTGAACTTTTGCACTCGAAATTTCAACAAATCAAACCCAAAAGGTCAAATGATGGTCAAAAGTAAGGCTTGAAGAGCCCAGAGGAAGCACAACATAATTGTAGACCACACATTATATGTGTTTATATGTCTATTTGCATGCATGTATATGCAATAAAGCCTTGCTGGAAGCCCATAAATATGCACTTAGGGTGTACATATGGGCTTAGGGGAAGGTATAAGTAGCATGTGTCCCAAATAATGATTTCAAAAAAAGGGAAAAAAAGAATGGCTGGTCCAATTGCAAAACTGAATAAGATTTAGAATCTACAACCTCCATAGAGTCCAAAAAAGACACTTTTGGAACTTTTGGACTCCTATGGTGGACAAACATTCAGCCCGCGTGGTCAACTTGCATTTTGCTGGGGGGTTGTTACAGTAATATGGTGTCCCCCACTGTACATACTAGGCAGCAGCGGGGTTGAGCCTGGTTGAGCGGGATGATCTCAATAAGGATGACCGATTGTCCATCCTCCTTCACTTGCTACATACTCAGCAACGTTTCAATTGCTATCGTTGTTGAATGTTTGACGTCAGATCTCCTCCAGCGACCGAAATTCGATGAGCAATCGCTTTTGAAAGACATAAATAGCAAGACTGCATCGGTTTGTTTTCGATGCAGAGTAAATACGAAAAGAGAGAAAAGATGCGAACCCCGACATTTTCCATTAACAACTTGTTTTTGATCGTTCTACCCAGTTTGCTAGGAAGCCATACCTCAAAGGCACAGATATCATCTTCCCGGTGCGTTTTGCCTGCTATTTCCACTCCATGATTTTTTTTTTTCACTTTTTCAGTTCACATTTGGCAAGTATCTTGACTTGATTCGCCAGTTTCTTCAATTGAATCAAGCGGAATACGACTTGATGTTGGGAAAACAAGACGCATAACTGCCTTTCATGACTGATGTTCCGGTTTTAATCGTTTCCTTGCTGACGTATAACTTGTTTTAAATATCATTTTTCTACTTGATAGGGTCGACCTGAAAAACGTCCAAGGCGATGTTATTATTGGTTTGCAGAAACGGCAAGAAGCGTTTTGGTTTGGCACTTTAAGATCAGATCCAAGTTCAATCGAAGGCTTTCGCAAAAATCTGAAAACCCACTTACTTCCATTAATTACAACGACACAAGGTGTTATTGATGCACAAAAGGTCATAGATGATCATCAACGAAAACAGAAAAAAGGGGAGGCCAAACAATGGCTTCCGATCACCCACGTTAATTTGGGATTTGCTTATAACGGGTTAAAGAAGTTGGGCTTGAAGCCGGAGGAGATCCCTACCGGCAGGGACGGGGTATTTTCCAAAGGTCAAAAGCTTGACGCCGTGAAAAACTTGGGAGATCCGATGATTCAAGCAACAAAAAAGTTAAATACCTGGTCTCGCGATTTTTTGGGCGAAGTTAACACGATCGATTTCGTCGTCCTGATCACTGCTCCGGACTCGAATTTATTAAATCAAAAACTCCATCAGGTTCGCAGGATGTTCAATGGGTTTTTGTCGCACTCTTTCCTTCGTCAAGGTAATGTCAGGCCCGGTGATCAGTATGCCAATGAGCATTTCGGATTCCCGGTTGAGTGTCTTTCTTTCTCTAGTCATTTTCTATTACCCTAGAAAAGGGTTTCACTTGCTCCATTGGTGACTGACTGAGAACCTGGAACTTAAATAGGACGCGATTTCCATGGCGAAGATTAAAGGTGTAAATGCGCGAGCAGAAGATCGAAAGGCTGGAATAGTTGAACCAGGGGTGATCTTACTCGGCTACCCCTCTGCCAATGGGAACAGCACCGCTCCCGATGCCAATCAAGCATGGCTCAAGGATGGATCTTTTATGGCTTTCAGAGAACTTCGACAACTCGTACCCGAATTTCACCACTTCTGCGACGAGACTGCTAAAAATATGAAGAATTTGAATGTATCTGGTGATTTTATTGGTGCTAGAATCGTGGGGAGATGGAAATCAGGTGTGTTTTCTTAAGAGTTTCTTAATTTCAGCATTCTAGCAACTACTTGGTTAACATCTATGATTTCCTCAGGAGCACCGCTTACCTTGGCTCCAAAGCATGATAATCCAGCGTTAAGTACAGCTCAAGATTTTGATTATTCTGACGAATTAAAACAAGAACGTTGTCCCTATGCTGCTCATATCAGGTAATATCTATTCACGAGATCGAAGAAGATTGAAAACATGCATGCTAAGGAAAAATTTTCTTTTCTTCATTTTTCTTCGTTTGAATGTTAGGAAAAGCAATCCACGTAATGGCATCCAAGGCGCGGACCCCCAGAAAACCACCTTGCCTCACCTCATGATCAGAAATTCGATACCCTACGGTTTGTCTTTGCAAACTGGTCATATCCACAATGTGGCAGGATGCATGAGCGCTGAGCATCAGTATGGTTTTCACTTTCAGGCCCCGAGCTCACAGGGGAAGAGAAATATTTCAAGAGAACAATAGAAAACCGTGGTTTATTATTTGTTGCTTACCAAAGTGACATTGTGGCCGGATTTCAATTCGTCCAAAAGGTAATCCTATCTTGAATTAAATCTAGTTTCATCTCTTGTGGTTTGAATGGTAAAAAATTGATTTTATGCGCTATTGGCACTTTGCTTAAATTTAGGCATGGTGTAATAACCCTAGTTTTCCACCGCAAACGGCCCTCAACGTATCAGCTGGATTGGACTTGTTGATCGGTCAACACAGCGATGGATCACCACGAACTGCTCAAAACATTACACCATCGGTCGGTAGTCTTTTCAGTAGATTTAATTGCGCAATTATTCACATTTTGGCTACATGTTTGAAACGCTACAGGTCCCAGGAGGTAATGCAGATCCTCGCAACACGGTGACCGCATTTCAACCTTTTGTTGTTCCTCTTGGGTCAGTTCGGAGAGCATTCATGAAAAGAATGAGAAAATTCTACCCTTCTTTTGGATTTCTAAATATGATGTGTTTCTGACTTGCTGACAGAACCCTTCTGCTCTGATATTTAGGGGAGAATACTTCTTGATGCCATCAATCAAAGCCATAAATGAAAAACTTGGCCTTTGACCGCCAGACCGAGCAAAGACTTGCAGATTTTATGCCCCTGCAATCACTGCGACCGGGTGGGCGCTCTGCAGAGCGGAAATTATCAGTAAATCAGATATAAAAGCTAATTAAAAAGCGTTAAATATTCTAGAAATGCAGGCTTCACTTTGTATTAAATTCCAAGCCAACATCATCTTTCTGTTCTCCCTTTTCTCAATGTATGAATAGTTTTGGCCTCTTTATACCCTTTCTCTTTCAGACTTCTCATTACTTTCTCTCTATCTTGTTCAAATGCATTTGTATAAACTTGTACTTCGAACAATCAGATCAGATTATTCACAACATGGAAACTCAGTCGCGGTCACAGTCCGTACCTAGCTAGGATCTATCAAGTTAATTTCTTCGGACCGCCGCCCATAAAGTCGGAGTCGCACCCAACATATTAACCATGCCATTTTTCTTTAAAAACGTTATTCTACACTAAATTGGGGGCTGTAATTGCCTACCCTTTCTATCTTGATCATGTATTGTATTCTTTTTCCGTGAGGAAATGGATTAAGAATTTTTCCAAAAACTCAGAACACTCTACTAAGAATTAGGAACTATATTCTGCTTCCTTAGCTACAGTTCAATGTAACAAATGAGTTTATGGTTGTTGATACTAGTCTTGATGGAGTTCATGAGCTGGTTTCAGAGCACCTGAAGTGGTTATTGATTTGGTAAAAAAATACTTTTTGCATGTTAGTTGTAAAAAAGTGTTGTAAGATCACACATCTCTAAAGGGAAGCCAGTCACTCCTGCCAACATCTTCGAAAATTCTCTGGAAAGAAATGACCCATGGCCGGGAAGTGCATATTCTGGTACAGAATAGTGGCTCTGCTGAGTCCTGAAGCCTGAGGGTACATACTACACTGCACTGGGTCAGGAGGCTTTCAGTCCTGGCCGGAATGTAGTTTCCAGCGAGTCTTAAAACCCCTCACGAGAACAGCCCGGAAAACAGATCGAGCATTTTTCATAAGCGCCAACGGGTGACCTCGGGCTGACTTGGCTAGTCGACAAACCGCCCCTGGAGAAGGTAGGATCTTTTGCCAAGCAGTTTTTAGACTTTTTGTGCTGTGTTGGTATCGGTGATGGCCACATCGGGATTCGGACATACGGACTAGATATGAAACAGTGATCATGGAGTGAGTCTCAACGACTGCATATTGGGAGGCTCACGGGATGAATGACTGGCGTCTCACTCCTTCATAAAGAGCGCTGAGCCGGCGCGGTTGTTTGATACGCACTGACAATCATGTGTGATCACACCGAGGTTATGCAGCGCAAGACAAAGCTTGGTCTTTGTAGACTCACAGAGCGTATCTGACTCAATCAAGCAACGACACTGATGGGATTGAGCCTGCTGGAGTGGAGAGCAATGATCAGGAAGGCTCCAAATTTAGGCTCACCAGCGACGTGGCCATTGCTTTCCCTCAGGTGTTTTTGGTTTATTGCTGGACATCAGACCTTCAGAGACCAACGCTCGAGGGGCAATTGATCTCGGCATACATAAATAACGAGGCTATATGGACTTGCTGAACGCGTCATAAAGATAGGAAATCAAACGAAACATGCGAACCTCTACATTTTCCATTTCTACGGTCCTTTTGATCGTTTCATTCAGCTTGCTTGAAGTCCAAATCACCAAGGCCGACACATCGTCTACCCGGTGGGTTCTGATTTCTATTTAAACTCCATATTTTTTTTTTGCTTTTGTGAACAGTCCAGATTTGGCGAGTCTCTTGATTTGAGTGCAAGTTCTATCAATTGCATGTGCGACGCCGTTCACTTTCCAATCAAATCAAGTGGAATACGGCTTCATATGGCGATTTAAAATGAGGATCTTGCAAAACATAAACACACACATGCGTTTCGCCCTGTTTGTTCTTTCTGTGCTGACTTGAATCTTGGTTTGAATCGCAATATTTGTGTTAAATAGGGTCGATCTAACAAACGTCCAAGGCGATATAATTATTGGTTTGCAGAAACGTTACGAAGCGTTTTGGTTTTGCACTTTGAAGTCAGATCCCGGATCAATCGAAGGCTTTCGTAAAAACCTGAAAAGTGACTTGCTTCCATTAATTACATCGACACAAGGTGTGATCGATGCACAAAAGGTGATAGATAACTCCCAACAAAACCAGACCGAAGGGGAGTCCAAAAAAATGCTACCCATTACACACGTCAATCTAGGCTTTACTTTCAACGGATTGAAAAAGTTAGGCTTGAAGGCAGAGGAGATTCCCACCGGCAAAAACGGGATATTTTCGAAAGGTCAAAAAGCCGACGCCGTGACAAACTTGGCAGACCCGCTGGATCAAGAAACAAAAAAGTTAAAAACCTGGTCTGATGATTTCTCAGACGAAGTTAACCCAATTGATTTCGTGGTGTTGGTAACTGCTCCGGACTCGAATTTATTAAATAAAAAACTCGACCAGGTTGGCAAGATACTCGAAGGGCACTTGTCAAAGTCCTTTCTTCGTCAAGGCAATGTCAGACCTGGGGACCAGTGGGGTCATGAGCATTTTGGATTCAAGGTTGATTAGTATTCATTCATTCATTCTTCTCTTCCTTTTTAACATTCTTGACGCTTTGTCAATGGCTGACTAACAATTGTGATTTTGAAAAGGACTCAATTTCGACGCCGAAGATTGAAGGTGTGAATGCTCAATCAGAAGACAAGAAGGCCGGAATAGTTGAACCAGGGGTGATCTTACTCGGTCAACCCCCTTCCGATGGGAACAGTAGTGCGACGGATCCTAATCAAGCTTGGCTCAAAGATGGGTCATTTATGGTTTTCAGAGAGCTCCAACAATTCGTACCCGAGTTTCAAAGTTTTTGCGACGAGTCTGCCAAAAATCTCAAAAATTCGAATATTTCTGGTGATTTTATTGGTGCTAGGATCGTAGGAAGATGGAAATCAGGTATGTTTTTGTATCTTGGCAACCATCCTAAAAAATCCTTGATTAAAGCTTCTCTTTTCTTCAGGGGCACCAATTAGCTTGGCTCCCAACGAAGATAATCCGGATTTAAATGCAGCACAGGATTTTGACTATTCGGACGAAGTGAAACAAGAACGTTGTCCTTATGCTGCTCACGTCAGGTATCATATTTTGACGCGATTCCATGAGATTGATACTCCACATGTTGATATTTATTTCTTCGTTTCAATCCTAGAAAAACCAATCCACGTCATGGTGCTTCAGTTAACGGAGACCCTCAAAGAAACACCTTGCCTCACCTCATGATCAGAAATGGCATACCCTACGGTTTGTCCTAGTCCTAATGACGTATTCACGGTGCGGGAGGATAAGAGTTGAACGGAGTCTGGATTGCATTTGTAGGTCCTGAGGTCACTGGTGAAGAGGTCGACATTATGAAAACAAAAGAAAACCGCGGTTTGCTATTCGTTTCTTATCAAAGTGAAATTGCGAACGGGTTTCAATTTGCCCAGAGGGTAATTCTACATCATGTTCAATTTTTTTTTCTTCCTGATTGACTCTAATAATATGTTAAGTAAATTTACTTTTCTTACTTTCCTTGAGCTAGGTGTGGTCTAACAACCCCCGTTTTCCGACGCAAGCGGCCGCTAATGTATCAGCTGGGTTAGATTTGCTAACCGGACAAAACAGCGATGGATCACCACGAACCGCTCAAAACATTATCCCATTGGTAAGCAGTACCGGTAGCTCTCTATTGCAAGGAAAATGTTCATTTTTTTTGGCTATGTGTGCAAATACCCACCACAGCTCCCAGGAGGGAACACCGACCCCAACAACACGTTGACCGCGCTTAACCCTTTTGTCATTCCTCTTGGGTCAGTTCATAGATCATTCTTCAAAAAATGATACAATTTCTTCAGGAATTCATTTGGAATTGCTTTAATTTCCTGTTTTTGTGATTCGATGATGGGACCTTTATTGCTCCGATTTTTAGAGGGGAATACTTCTTAATGCCATCCATCAAAGCTATAAACGAAACACTTGGCCTTGGATCAAAAGACCAATGAAAGCTCGGCAACTTTTTTCTAACGTTCCTGCATGATGGCGGGTCCGCAATCTGATACACAGAAATATTCGCTCCGTCAGATCCAAAAGCTAACAAGGAACTCAACATATTTAGCGCACCGTCAAGTCGGGGTATCACTTTGTATCATTTTCACCTTTCTGCTTCCCCTTTCTCAATGTACAAATAGCCTTTGCCTGTTTATGGACTCTCAGCTCACAGGCCGCTCATTTCCATTCCCTCTTCTTTTTCTCTTCAAGTGTATTTAGAACTTATCCCGATAGTTTGCTAGATTAGATCCGAGTATATAAAACACTGCATAGCGGTGCAGTCTCAAGCTCGTTCATGAGAGCTCCTTGATGATATGAGACTGAGAGGCAATCGCAAAAAAGTAAGTGAACATTGGAGAATAATTGAAAATACAAGGTATTTCTTTCAGGCTACTATCAGTATCCTTAATCTCTGTGCGATGCCACACATGCGTCAGCATATCTGTCCTGTCGCCTCCACATATGATACCGAGCGGAGTAACAGATCCGGCCTCTCAGAGATTCCATAGCGGGCTCTAGAGAGCGGGTTCGCGTGTATCTGCCGACACCGGGGCTGTTCCTGATTTATCACAAGTCCCTCGCTTCGGAGGGCCCCGGTACTAAACCATAGCATCCATGGTTGACAGGGTCAGACTCAGACCTGAGGATCAAGTCTGATCTCTGTTATGGTTTTCGAGATGAAAGACTTCAACGCCGGTATTTCTAACTCATTCGCGACTCGCCGAGGTTATCCCGATTAGCCAAAGTTTCCTGTTTTCAGGCTCTTACCTTGTGTCTGAATCGATTTTTGCAGTGCAACACGCGGTTGTGCTAGATCACATGACCAATCAGAAAATGTGAATTTTCGATGCCTTCGGGTGGGTGCTTGCTTTCCTTCGCTTGCCACCAGGTTTTTTTTGAAGATCGATTCCCGAAGGTTAATCACTGTAAAATACAATTTAATATCAGGACGAACTCGGTTTGCTGTTGGGGGAAATCGATCGAAATCGCAAACCTCAACGTTCACCTCCATCTCTAGTCTTTTGCGATGTTTCTGTTCAACTTATTCAAAAGTCAAGCCACCCAAGATGTCACATCGTCAAGCCAGTAAGTTTTCTTTTTCTTTCTTGTAGATAAGTTTCTCCCTGTTCGAAATTCAGTTTAGGCTAGAAGCTTGTCTAGTTGTATCAGATTTTCCATATGATTTTGTTCACTTTTTGATGTATTTGATTGGCATACAGCTGGATATTGACATGCCAAAATTTAGATGAGAATTTACTCTCGTTCCTTGATTTATAAACGCAATGTGTGGTCTTTCCTTGCTAATCATCTGTTTCTTAATTCGAATAACGTTTTTTTCCTTACTGACAGGATCGATCTAAGCAATGTGCAGGGCGATGTCATCATTGGATTACAGAAACGCTGCGAAGCGTTTTGGTTTTGCAGTTTGAAAACTGAAGCAGAATCGATCGAAGGTTTTCGTAAAAAATTAAAAAGCGATTTGCTTCCGATAATTACTACAGCACAAGGTGTGATAGACACACAAAAAAAGATAGATGAAAATAAAAGAAATCAGAAAGATGGGGATTCCAAAGAGCTGTTGCCCATTACCCAGGTTAATGTAGGATTCAGTTTTAATGGAATAAAAAAGCTAGGTTTGAAGACAGAGGAGATCCCAACCGGCAGAGATGGCGTGTTTTCGAAAGGCCAAAAAGTTGACGCTGTGGAAAACTTGGGAGACCCGGTAGACCAAGCCACGAAAAAATTGAAAACCTGGTCTAACGAATTTTTAGATGAAGTCAATTCGATCGATTTCGTTGTGTTGATTACTGCTCCGGACTTGAAACTACTAAATCAAAAACTCGACCAAGTTCGACACGCCTTCGGTGGGCACTTGTCCAACTCTTTCGTTCGTCAAGGTAGCGTCAGGCCCGGTGAACAGCTTGGTCATGAACATTTTGGATTCTTGGTTGAGCATTTCTGTGTTTCTTCATTTTTAATCCCTTTTTAATCTTCTTGATACGGCCCATGACTTGTTCAATCAATGGCTGAACATAAATCAACATTAACTCAAAAAGGACTCGATTTCCACGCCGAAGATTGAAGGTTTCAATGCTCAACCAGAAGACGAAAAGGCGGGAATAATTCAACCAGGGGTAATTCTACTTGGCCAACCCTCTTCCGGTGGAAATAGCGTTGGCCTGGATCCCAATCAAGCATGGCTCAAGGATGGGTCGTTTATGGCTTTCAGAGAGCTCCAACAACTCGTACCCGAATTTCAAGCTTTTTGCGATGATTCTGCCAAAAAGAATGAAGAATTAAATGCATCCGGTGATTTCATTGGTGCCAGAATCGTTGGTAGATGGAAATCAGGTGCGATTTTATCTATCTGTAACCAACCTAGCAAATGCTTGATCCATGTTTCTTCGTTCTCAGGGGCACCACTTAGCTTGGCTCCCAACGAGGATAATCCGGAGTTACGTGTAGCACAAAATTTCGACTATTCGGATGAATTGAAACAAGAACGTTGTCCCTATGCTGCTCACATCAGGTACAATCTCTTTATGTGCCAAAATGGAATTCCAAAACCACGTGTTCAGATTCTTTCTTCTGTTCTCCATTTTATATTATTAGAAAATCCAACCCGCGGAATGGTTCTCAAGCTGGAGCGGACTCGCAGAAAACAATCTTACCTCACCTCGTGATCAGAAATGGGATTCCATACGGTTTGCTTTTGCAAATGTTTCATACCCCCATGACTACTGAAGGATCAGATATGAATATCAGTCCGGATTCCCCTTGTAGGTCCCGAGCTCACAGGGGAAGAGACCGATTCGAAGAAAACAAAAGAAAATCGTGGTTTATTATTCGTTGCTTACCAAAGTGAAATTGCGGACGGATTCCAGTTGGTCCAGAAGGTAAGCCTATCTTACATCAGATACTGGAATCACTGTATTTCCGTGAGAGATGATTAAGTGATAACGATACCTGCTTTTGATCCTTCCCTGAGCTAAGATATGGTGTAATAACCCTCGTTTTCCAGCGCGACCGGCCGCTAACGTATCATCTGGATTGGACTTGTTGATCGGTCAAATCAGCGATGGATCGCCGCGAACTGCTCAAAACATTATCCCAGTGGTCAGTAGTAACTCCGATCCATTTTATTGACAAATTATTCATTTTTGGGGTATATGTTACAGGTTCCCGGAGGTAATACCAACCCCAACAACACATTGACCGCGTTACAACCTTTTGTTGTGCCTCTTGGGTTAGTCCATAGATCGATCATCAATTGAACCATGAGATTTCATCCGAATTCCGACAGATCGCTGAATTGGTTGTTTCTTAACTTGCTGACGGAACCCTCACTGATCTAACATCCAGTGGAGAATATTTCTTGATGCCATCTATCAAAGCCATAGATGAAAAACTTGGTCTTTGAGTGAAGGAACAGTGAAATATCCGCAATTTTGTAAGGACCCCAAATTATTGGGAAAAATCTTTTGACGGGGAAGAAATTTTTCTCCAAAGAAAATTGAATTCATCTGGGACACCGACAAGGCAGGAATTCACTTTGCTGAACTTTGAAGCAAACATCTTCTCGACAATCTTCCACCATCCCAGAACAAAGAAATAAATTGCTATCTTGATTTCAGCATCCACTGCATAGTGTTTTTCATAGCCTTGAACTGTTTTGTTGGTACTTTTTGTTTCCAATTTGTCTAGACTTCTCATTGAAGCGCGAGGGGCAAGTTGGGAAAGACTTCTCAATCTCAAACAAAAAATGTTGCTTGAGTCATTTCCTTGCAATGCATCTGCCCATCAGGATTCACATCCAGTTGTGCAATCTGAAGACCAATTTGATGTATGTTTTCGTTGAATTCAAGACTTTTTGAAAGACACAGTGCATAAAACCAGTACTCAGTATTTCAAAATGAAGCAGTGAATCTTGCTGTCACTAGGCTAGGTTCAAGTAGACTGAGTACACACAATCAAACCGTGGTTTGGTTAGGTATATGGAGAATAGGGCATCAGAGAAGAAAACAGAGCAACTAAGTACAGTAAGATGACACCAAAAACAATTCACACTCAGTCTTGAGGATGGGATAGTGATACCAGAGAAAAGTTGCCAAGCTTCAATGACTAGAGTTCTAATACAAATCACCAAGCAGGCAAATGTGACCTTCAAGAAAAGATGTTTCAATTGGTTGAAATATTGATTTCAGAAAGATAAACCAACTAAAAAGGGAAAGGGAAAAGGAAGAGGGATCTATGTATGACAAGCTACTGAAATTCCAATATCAGGTGACCTAGTAGAGGCTTGCTAGTGAGTGTAAAAGAGAAATCCATTTGGTTAGATCAGCAATTTATTCAAAAAGTTACTTTGTTGATCAATAACATACCTAGGGGATTGTGCCTCTAATCTTTTGCAACTACTCTTTCCACTGGAGGTGTAACCCAATATTGCACCTGCAGTGTTGTCTCTTTTGATGAATAAGGAGTTTCCAAGTTGCCCATATGCTTTCCCAGTTCATTTTTAGTGAAGTGTTTCAATGAGCTATGGCCATCTTTGTCTTTAAGTAGTACCCCATCCTGTAATACACCTGCATAACAATTCTCATTAAATGGATTGTTGATGTGGACTTTCCCTTCCTTCACATTAAATATACATCTGACTGATTCCCCATTGTCTGATCTTGTGAAATCATCACTCATGTGATAGTCTATTTTGGATGGTTTGCAAAGGTTTCCATCTGCTTGGTCTAGGGAAATTGCATATTGCAAAGCCTTATATCTATTATCAGGAATATAAGACTCTCCAGGACGCATTCCACCTTGAATATGTGAACCTAAGAAAAGGCAGGTAATGAGGGTAGCCAATTTCATCTAGCATAATTTTTGAATTAGTCAGTATATTGATTTCAAAGCTGAATTCATAACATAACTATTTGTCTCTCTAAGCTAAATCAGACAAAGACTCCCAAGTTTTTTGATATACTCTTGCCCAGTGTCACAAAGATATTGATTGAGTTGAACAGATATGATAGATTCTTGACTTACTTTTTCAGCTGTAGATAATTATTTCAAGTGCCCAATATTTAATCCTGTTTGATTGGTTGGTAGAATAATAAAAGTTATGGTGGTATTTATGTGGTTGGGAAGTCACCAGAATGGGGGAACTCTTTTACCATTGAATGCCTTGCTAAATTATACAATTATCAGGGAATGTGGAGATATTTAATGTACAAGATCTTACCAACGGTGCAACAGATACGAGACATGTATTTGTATTGGATTGTATTGTCTTTATTTTGAGCCTGATACCAGTATCAGTATTTTCTTGTCTTTGGTTTTTTCTTTTTTATTCAATACGGCCAAATATCTTGTGTATCAAATACGGTTTTGGTGGGATCAGTCATCTGAGACAATACAGAATACTTGTCTCACTTTCCAAAGACAATACATGTGTATTGTCTCAGGAAAGTGAGACAACACAAATCCAGTATTTTTGTGTATCCAAATTCTGAGACAATACAAATAAACACCTGATACCGTTGTGTATTGTCTTTGTTGCACCGTTGATCTTACCTGTTTAGAACACAACTTGTTGTTTTGGACTTTGTAAATAGATATAAGTTCATTCCAAAAAAAAAAAACACTGTTTGAGGTAGGTTTTCACACCTTTTTTTCAATTGTGAAACCTTCTAAATTCAAAGAAAGTTTCAATTAAGTTGATTTATGCTTCCAGGAATTCATTTCAAATAATCTCATTAGGGGGTACCAAATATAAACAAATCCACCATTATTTAATTGACTGGTTTGGAAAAATCCACCCTTTTTGAAACATGTTGGTTCTTCATTTAACCCCATTTGGGGCCCATTGATGCAAAAAAAATAATTTTGGAAAAGTGACTGGTTTCTAATGGTGGTTTTCCTATATTTGATACCCCCTAGTATTATAAATGAAACGTTGAGTTTTAAGAAAATTGGATTTTGCCATTAAATTCTACATGTATTAAAACCTAGGAAATAAATTTAAAATTTCAAAAAAGCATTGGTAACAATCACTTTGCATAAAAATTAAAACTATATCTTGAATACTGCATTGGACATGTTTCCTTAATTAATTCTTACACACTTAATTATCCTTATTTTTTGGAATTTCAAATTCATTTCCTACACATTGAAAGGTTTGCAAATTGATGGTAGTATCCATTTTTCATCAAAATACAATTTGTATACGGTACAAATTATGCAAGAAATGGTGTACGCTCACATATTAAGATTGAAGCTTTGAGTTTTATGAAAATTGGACTTCACCATCAAATTTTAAACTTTTTTAAATGTAGGAAATAAATTTCAAATTTCAAAAAATGCTCAAAATTAAGCCGGTAAAAACCAATTAAAAGAACATCAAAAAAACCTGTCCAACGCAGTATTCAATAACAATCTTTGATTTCATGTAAAATGATTATTATCATAATTTCTTACATGTATTAAAGTGTAGGAAAGAAATTTAAAATGTCAAAAAAGAATCAAAATTAAGCTGTAAAAACCTAAGTGAAAAAATGGGTATGATTGCATTATAAAAAATGAACCATTCATTTTTATAAAAAATGGATGTTACCATTAAATTATACACATATTAAAACCTAGGAAATAAATTTAAAATTTCAAAAAAACATAAAAAATAAGGTACAAACATGTACTAGTGTCTAAAGGCGGCTGCGCCGCCATCTATCAAATACAAACATTTCATTTATTGCCTTTACTCCACTACTTTACACAAACTCATCAAGATTCATGCATATTTTTAGGCCTGTCACCGGCAAAAATGACAGTTTTCCCCCCAAAGGTTAGTTTAGTCTTCATTAGATCTTTGAGACTTTGATCTACAGTCTTGATGGCATCCTTAGGTATTTCTTGTAAAAATGGTTGAATCAATACTTTATAGAAATAATATTATAAAACTCAATAGAAGTAATAATCTTAACAAAAAGTAATGATAAGTAAGTATGATCAAATCTGATAACCAATCAACAAAGAAATGAAATAAAAAATACCTGATGAATCAGATCAGAATGCAACAAAGTTAAAATACGAAAACACAACAACGTCGACTTCTTTAACACGAGGATTATCACAACGAAATAGCCTGATAATGAAAAAATAAGAAACGGTCAATAACTTGTAACAAACAGTGAGAATGTAACACAATTGACGCTACCTGCCCAGAAGCTAGATCTAGCTCCTCCTGAATGTTAGAAGTGGTCGGTTGATGAGTCGAGTATTGAAACTTGATTGATCAGCGATCGAATAGGACCTCGGAGGATTTTGATTGATGATGATTGAGATTTGTGGTGAGCAACTAGTACGGAAGGGAAAAAAGAAAATGATCGGCGAAAGTTGAAGTTGCTTGTCGAAAAGTCGAGTGACGCAATGAATTTGCTGATGACGAATAACAGCGCGAGAATGAAAGGATGCATAATCGACTATGCATAAAAGAATGTGCGAGTTTGAATTCACAACACTCCTCCTAAACACGCACATTTCCCAAATGTAATTGTTTGAAAGCAGCAGCCAACTTAATCTTGCCAAAAGGTTTCGTCAATATATCCGCTATCATATCGAATGTACTGATTTGCTTTATATGTAAAACTTTTTGCATCATGAGTTGACGAATATATTGAAATCGAATTTCAATATGTTTCGTGTTCGGATTCAATTGAGGTTCTTCACTAATAATCACCGCACCCGAGTTGTCGTTGAAAATCGTAGGAATGTCGATTTGAATTTTCAGAGAAGTAATTAAATTAGACATCCACCTAAGCTGTTTTGCGCATTTGTTGATAGCAATGAATTCAGCTTCTGTTGTTGACTGAGCCACAACCGATTGCTTTTTAGTTGTCCACGAAATCGGATTGCCAAAGAAAGAAATGACATAACCGGACATTGATTGTTTCGTAACAAGTGAAGTACCGTAATCCGCGTCAGCCCATCCTACAAGTGCGTCCGCTTTTTGCCCCTTAGAAAAAGTTATCCCTACGTCCTTTGTGCCTCGGAGATATCTCAGCAGATGCTTAACCAAAGACCAATGAGCTTCCGTAGGAGAATTGGTAAACTGAGCCAAAACATTTACTGTAAAAGCAATATCCGGCCGAGTGTGAAGAGCCAAATAGTTCAACATTCCAATAGCCTTCTGCATCACTTTCTCATTAATTGAAGGCGAGTCGGAGGCTACGAGCCGATGAAAATTGAGCGGAGAAGGAGCTTTAACTGGATTTGAATCGTTCATACCAAATTCATTAAGGATTTTTGACACAAAGTCGGATTGATGAATAAACAGAGATTTGTCTTCATTCCAAACTAGTGTATAACCAAGATGCTGTGTTGGGCGTTCTTTGATTTTGAGTGAATACGTCTTTTGAAGATTATTGAGAAAGGTGAGAATCGCTGGGCGCGATTTTCCAATAATCAATCCATCGTCAACGTGCATGTGTAACAGA